TTGGACAGATTAGCTTATGTCTTTGATATGCGTACATGAAATTACCAAGAAAAAGTATTAATAACATTAAGAGCCGTACCGCTATACGTTAGGTCCAGACAACTGGGGCTGCAGTTCATGTACTGTTGTCCACGAGGCCTTGAGGATGGCCCCACCGATAAAGTGTTTACCGACCTACGCATTTGAAGAACTAGTCTATAACCTAAAGTCAAAATTTCTTTCCTTGAGCACTCAATTATTAAAGCGAAGAATACAGCTAATTCGGAGACAACAATCGAGTTAGGAAACCACAAAAGCAAACGGAAGAGATTTGTTAAGATTAGCCAAAAATAATCAATTTGGAGGCGCTCAACAACTTATTCCAAGTATAATATTCATATCAGGCCTGCGAGATCGTTATCTGCAAGAACTACTGATGATGTGAGGAGGATTAAAATATCTTTCAGTTGACCCTGGAGCTGATCCGTCATGATGTCGAGGGCTACTAATCTCATCAGAAAAGCCAGTAAGGACGTACCTGCTATATAGAAATAAAGAAAAATAGAGGTAACCTACGAAATCTTTCCAAAGCAAGTTGGCGCCCAAGTCGAGTCGGAATGATATGCTCTCGCGATAGAATAGACCATAAACCGCAGGAATATCCATACCGAAAATATAAATGTAGTTTATATGGAACTATAGGTCATCTTAAACACGTGTACCGAAACAAAAACGTACAGGTAATTGAGACTAATAGAATTAACTAAATGAGAGAAATTGTCTACCAGGATAATAAAAACTTACCGAAATCGGGCTATGGACGTAGAGCAAGAACAATTACAATCAACCGAGAAAGCAGAAAACGAAATTGAAGAAGTTGCTCTCTTAACCATTTCGCAAGTTGATGACTGTCTAGTGCCACAATCCAACGATAGTACATCACTGTTTAAACCAAATTCGATGCGATAAGATTTAAATTTTTGACGCTTGATAATGTAACTGCGAATAGTAAAAGTTAATGATTACAACATGGAATTAGATGACTTAATGTTTTTGTATCAACGAAACCTTGCAGGTCAAATCATATATTGTTAATACGGTAAGCTGGCGATGCGAGGGCAGAAAGAGTGTAATTTTGATGCGTTGAAATACATTTATAAACAGTCGTAAATAGGATATTTTGTCAGCACGACAAGAATTTTAGAATCGTTAATAGCAAGGATGACGAAATAGATTGAAAAATGTTCTGAATTCATACAAATTTTAACTAGCCAGCAAGCTACTGCAAAGATGTAATAACTTTTTATATTTAAATTTTATCTGATAAGATTAGGATGAGCATGTTTAATGAATGACCAACTAATGAAGTAATAAATATGTCAACTCCGTTTTCTTGTGTACGAATGAATATTCATGGTTAGACCCTGCTTTCGCTGCTGTACCATATAGTATCGTTTGTTATGGTAATTTATGAGGCATATGTAAGGAGCCATAATCGACAACATCGTATGTAACAATCAGTGGAAAATAAAGAAATCAGGCGTAATTTGGCTTACTATGATACAATATTTGACATTCTATATATTTTAGAAGACCGAAATGAGAATCAAAAGATGCATTACAGTACAGTAATCTGCAGATATGCACGTATATACTTGCATATACTGAAATTCTATGTAAATCACTAAAATGTATAATTAGCGGCGCCGACGATATTTTAGATCCAAGCGAAATTGTAGAAATAGAGTATCGGTACTATAATCGTGCCAGATGGAACGAGATAGGACATAGTTCATCAGATGTTGCAGACCTCTGATTCAAGTAATTGCGTATAACACGAGTGTGAGCGCATTTTTAGTATTTGCGCTGAGATACGGGCTGCTATGCTATCCTAAAGGTATTTTGCCGGCGCATGTGCCAAATTATACGGGTACCTTATGTAGTAGAAAATCACTTTCATGCATAAAATTCTCGTTCCCGCCAGTAGCTGCCACTCGAATATCGAGTTGGTGTTACTGGTAAGACTACACAAATCTACCAGACCATGTACGAATATAGTAACTGATGTAAAATAAAGTATTTTTGACCAGAACTGTTGCTAATACAGTATGTTGAAACGGGGTACTTGTATTAATCGTATTACTGTATATGCTAGGGATTCTCTCCTTCAATGGCCGTCAATAAGAGGTATTGTTCTGTTATTAGGTGAAGCACTACATTATTGCAACTTGTAAGTAGGCATTTATACCTACAGTAAACATGTTCGTCTAGAGAGTGCAAGGTGGAAGTATCTAGGTTTTTTTTACCGTAATAAAAAAATACCAAAATTTTAGAATTTATCCCTAAAATTGATTGTTTCGATCTTTTACTATTATACACGACTGATATTTCGGTTTGGGACAACTTCTAATTTGAATGGTTATGAAGGTGTATCATAAAATGGTATTCGTTAGCTTGTTCATTAATTTATAACGCTTAATAGCTCTGTTTGGACCTCAAAAGGTCAGCAATAGCAGATAAGATACGCGTAAATCAATTACGAATAAGTACGTGCATTTGCTTAAGAAATCATTTTAACGTCCGTCTCTACCTATTGCACGAAATATAGATTCATCATCTGATAAAGTATTAAAGTTACTATAATTGTAGTTGCTAGAAAATGAAAATATCTGATACAATACGTGATTCAGCCACTAATTCACCACAATAATTAACATCGCATCTAAATGGATCATTATGTTATACTGTACTTTTATTCTATTTTATGATGCCTAATAAATATGCGTAGATTCATGATATTAGATAACATCTAATATAAATTAATCAAGCATTGGGCTAGTATATCTACAGCCATAATTACAATTAATTAATTATGATATTAAGGTATATTTGTATACAGTAGTCATTAAAAGGATAATATTAGCACAGTTTCCCAATGTTATCAGCGTTAGTATTGACTGTAAGAATAATATATTGTATTCGCAACTATACATTTCTAAGTTTTTAGTTGCAAGTTAAGCAAGGAGAATATGTACAATTATGTTAGACTTAAAATATCAATAATGATAATTATCTCACCAATAGCATGTTACAGTCGATCGATCATAATGAAATTATAAGAATTTATACTAAAATTTATAATTTTGAATAACATTAAAATCAGAATATGATAGTTTAACTAGCAATTACTATACAATAATACTGTAATGCGATACTAACCGTAACTAGCAAGATTTATAGTCACGACATATTACATGGTTAGGATATGAATATTGAACGCTATCTGTACGATTTTTACATCACAATACCGGGTATATCAGAAGAGTCTCAACAATTGAATTTCTGTATCCTACGATAAGAAGTTTTACAACTTTAAGCCTTCAGATTAGGAGTTATGGTAAATTCTTGTATTTTTTCAGCACTTTTTACATGCAGTGATTTCATTCATTTCAACATCTTCATTACGAAGAGATAACAGGTAATTGATTTTATCAAGACAATAATTACATTACTCTAGATATTACGAAGAAAGATTAAGTTTTCGTTTCATTCTTACAAATATTTACGGATTGCCGCTGTCTAAAAATTCGGTAACTAAATCACTTCACGTTTAATCTTGAATATCGATTATAAACCCTTAACTGAGACATAGTGCCCCAGTAAGAGTTCCTTTTGTCCTTACTTACTTGGGTCGATAATATGTTTAACCAAATATCCCTATGTAAAGCATGAATATATAACACTCCGTGAGATAATATAACTTCAATCAATTTTTAAGTAACAGGATTTGCCATAATATGGTAACAGTTTCAATAAATTCGAGATTACAGTAGTAATTCGCCCTAATCCAAACTTTTTACAAAAACTTGTCGAAAACAAAGGTCTCACCATAGATTTCTCTAACTAGTAGTGTTTCATTGTTAAATTATAGCATCGCCATATCGAACTATTACGCTTACTGTATTTGATTACTTGATCATTAGTGTATCAAACTTACTACATAGACTTTGTGTAGGTGTGTTGAATCCGATAGTAGCAAGCGATTTACATTAATTGTAAACACGTACAGTATATAAATGAAACATTAAGATCTACGATAACTTTTAAATTATGTAGTGCGAACGTGATAAAATTTTAGATACGCGTGTCTATATCTGTAACTGTGTGACTATAATGTACCCTTAATTTCAGTGCGTTAATTGTCTAATTATTTGGTTTAATAGTGTTGAGGTTGAGCAAGTAAGTATTAAAGAGATGATTATGATAAACTGGCGTAGCCAATACTTTGTCATTACTTATACGAATAATACAGTAGCCATAACTTGTAAGATTTTAGTGTTACAGCTTAACAACTATAATAATTAGTTCCAGTGCAGGTTTAGGCATTTACAAGCCATTTAGTTGCAATTGTAGAGATAAATGTACGTACTGTACGTATCACCGGAACAAATACGTGATTTTAAGATTCGTGTGGATATTACAGCAGTGCAGTAGTAATTTACGTATAAAATAATGAATAATGAAAGTGCTCATATGTGATTATAAATATAATAATTTATGTTGTTGTAGGAAAAAGACTCTTTGCTAGAATACCCTATATACGTAGAAAAAGATGTTAGCCAAAAATGTATTTGTGATATCACTGCACCAGTTCGCAAACAGTTTATCACATAATTTTTCTTAAAATTAAAAGTATGCGGATGAGAATACTAAACTCGTAACATTAACTAAATGGTCATAATCTCCAGTATACTAGATAGTCAGTTTTAATATCATATATTAAATACCAATCATCGTGATATTGTCTATCATAATAATTATGTGATCGAATAAAGAAAAAACACTAAATTTCTACTCTAGCAATGGAAAGACGTCAAGAAATGTTAAAAATTTTAAAAGTCTAAAAATACGTCAGCAGGCATTTGATGAGAATGATTATTGTACGGTGTTCGGATTAATCTAGCCATAATATCATAGGGCTAGATTAAGCCATAGACGAGCAGTAATACATCTACTAATTATTACATTATGCGTATCAACTGGTAATACTTATCATAATAATAATAAAGATGATCGGTTAGGCAGTAACTTACCGGAATTGCATATACGAAGGTTGCCGCAAACATAAATAATAAGAAGACCAAAAATAATATGAATAAATCTCTTTTATAATTACGACAAACGCCAAATTTGCATGCTTTAAACGGAGAAGAAAACCAGCCTACAGCATCTTCCGGTCGACTATATAATCGTAATCAAACCATATGGTAGAAGAATGAAATATGAATAGCCATATTACGAGTAAGTATACAGTATTAACAAATACTACAAAATGTAATGGCATTGGCTATTAAAGAATCATACTTTGGTTTCGGTAAAGGTTCAGGTGCTTCTCTCTTTAATCCTGCAGGTCTATGTTTCGCTTCATCTTCAGTAAGTAGGGTTAACTCTATTTCCACTTTTCCCTGATTTTATCATTACGATACTGTTATTAATCACTTTTCATGTGATCACGCAATAAAAGTTATTCATCTTACAGCCAAAATATCTTCAGATTTATGATTCTGGGCTACAACTGGAAACCATCCTCTGGCAGATTTCTGTTTCATCAAATCGAATCTTGGATGGTTGTCCGATTTTAGCATATTTAATTCGCAATGAGCTGCTTCCTTGACACCACGGGGCATGTCCAGTAAGTCAAATGTGGTCATACCTGGTTATATAGCAATAAGTATCGATTTAAGCTCGGCAAATTGAATAACTTAAATTTACTACGTTGATAATTTTGTAAGCTGGTATTACCAGTAAAATCATCACTTGAAAACATATCGGCATCCCAAACTTGAACAATCAAGTTGAAAGGTTCATAATGTTCGGTTTCATCCAATGAATAAAAGTGTTCCTAATTACATTATAAAAGTGAGCCTTGACTGATGAAGTGGGCTATGCTTGCAGTATTTTCAGAGTAATTTAAAGTAGTTACAGATCAAGATTTACTTTTTTCTTAACCACAACTTTCTCTTCCGCGGCTAGGTAATCGAATTCAAAGATCATTCGCCAATTAAAATTTCCTTCCCCGGTATAGGATCTTTACAGGAATTTTACAATAAGAAATGTTAGCATGATGTAAGTAGAATTCATATATATATTATATAAAATGACGTATCACATCTGTGGTGGACAATTGACGATTTTGAACTAACTTGTGATGAATATCGGTACTCTGCTTGTTGTTTTCGTGCCCCTTAATCCAGCTAAATGTTTATGAATGATAATCATATATTGATAAATTACAGTTAAACTGGAATATACAATAACTACACACAAAGCATAGTTATGGTTATTTAATTTATAGTTGAAATTGGATTTTTGTAAATGTGAGTGTAATGTTACCATTTTACGTAAATGTCGCTCATTTGCTCTCCTGATAACATGTTATGGTCATTGCATATGACATCTTCAGTGTTCCAAATAACGACTCGTAGTTCATAACTATATACGCACATACGTGTATACCAATTCATAATTCCAGAATAGGAAAGTAGAAATTAATAAATAAAATTAATTACCAACATAAGGCGCTCTCTAAAACACTTGCATATACATGGTAAATTCGATAGTACAATGTATAAATTATATAAATTAGTATCTGATAAAAACGTCTGTTTTATTTTCGTGTATAATTATAAATGTTTGAATACTAACTGGCTGTACATGTTCTGTAATTATACGGATATTTTATTAATAGTTATGTACATACAGATACAACACTACGGTATATAATATATCTCGATATAATAATATAATCATGGCTACATCAACTCGTTACGAACTCCTTCAGTTCATGATATGGTTTTGCTACATTAGTAGCTAAAGTACTAAGAATGCAAAGAAGCCTTGAGAGAAAATAACATACCGTGCTGGCTTTCTTGGTGAGATGTCAACATGATCCTCGGGGATGGGTATATCCATAGGAAAGACATCAACCCACATTTCTAAATTTCCCTACATAGATATGGGTAATGAACGTCGTAAGATTTTTAAAACAGAAGTCAATACGGAGCATTTAATAAATTTAGACTTGTACCTGTTCAATGCCCGGACGACCTGGGTTATAAAGTGGTCGTGTTTCAATATGCTCAGGAACTAGTTTCATTCCTCTGCCGGAGATCTTGTGCCATTGATGTAAAGCTTTTAGTGCAACGTGCTCATCAGTAATTACGAGCCGACCTATGAACATTATTGTACATTTTCAAAAACTAGTATTGTCACTAGCTTTTATAATCATCGAATATAACAAAGCCTATAGCTATGTTGTCGCTTCAAAATAGCCAAATCAAGATAAGTACTAAAATACTATACTTGATAATTCGATCTTGTAGAATTAATTACCTCTAGAATCAATCAATTCAGTGGGTCCAGTAATAATACATTTACCAATCGATACTTCACCATCAGCATAGTAAGGACCATCTAATTTTTCTTCCTTGCATAGCCGATTCAATATCTGAGTCGGTTTAAGAGGATCCCGCCATTTATTGTAGCCTATCCTAGGATTTAAATTGCTAACTTATTATCTCATATAATATTGGCAGCATTGAACATGTTGATAAAAATTTTCCTTTTGATTACATGCTAGCAAGAATTTTACTAAGTCTGTTACAGTGGGTTTAAAGTTAGGGTTAGAATGCTGAGTTGCCATATTCAAACAATTAATTTTATTATTAGCTTTCATGGACAGGAGAGAAAGCATTCGGTAAATAATTACTATAATAGAGAATAGTAATCTATTAGTGTAGAGATGTCTAATCTTGCTATATTAAAACTTTAAAAATGTGTGCTTTTACCAACTGACAAAGGTATTGCTATGCAACTGATTTAATCAACTTTAAATTACTACACAAATAAAATTGTGATTACACAATTTTTCATCGATTACCATAATTTTTATAATAGATAATCACTAAATTCCAGAATACATAAGGAATGCTATAACTTTAAAATAGTGGAACTCACTCTGAGTAGGTTATTGGCAGTCCACATGACGGCCGATGCTTGCTATAAAACCGATTTTCAATGTCAATTTTAGTTTCACCGATTAAATCGTCCGATCCAATCATATCCATATCATAGACTTGAACCGTCAATGTAGTCTCTAAAGGAATAGTTGCTTCAATATGAAATGCCCTAGAATTCATATTGATGTGATTTGATTATGGTTAGCTACTTGTAAGGTTGAGATCAGTTCATAATAGTTTAATAGGTATATTTAAACGTAATTTTAATGTAGAATTACACTATAAATTGGGCATAATCACTCAGAAGTACTTTCTAATGTTTTAATATAGAGCAATACTTCTTGGAAGCAATTAAGGCTTACCTTCCAAAAATTGGGCTTAAGTTTTTGGAAATATAATTTTCTCGGTCATTAATTTTCGTTTTACCTAGTGAAACTATTAAGTAAGGGTCTGCCTATATTGCATTATGGGGTAATAGTCGAAGCTTAGAAACCCACGCAACACATGATAGCAGTATAAATTGATTAGTTTAAAATGTTTTACTTACTTTGCCATTAATATCTGTCGGGTGGAGGTTATTGGCCTAAGGGAAAGAAAGAATTATCTCACATAACCAAATAGTGACATGAAATTGCATTGCATGTAAAACATATCATCGTATGAATGTAATGCAGTTTTAACAATTTTAGAAGTTTTTCAAGTCACAATCATTGACCGGAGTTAAGTCATTCCTATGGTTTTTCAAGTTTTTGTTATAAATAATTCTGAAGTTCAATCGTCACCCACACAATTTCATTCTTTAAAATGATACGAATCACTTGGCATGCAATGATAATTTTACCATTGAATTACTTCTCAAGGCAGATATTACAGTATTCACACTCTTATACTTGCATAATAGCCTCAATCGAAGGATCAACTGCATTGCTTAAAGAATTCCCTTAATTTACGTATCGACTTCTATTGATTTCAAAAGCAGTAGTAATAGTATGTATGCATACTAATTCTAAATATCACATCATTCTTCTATTACCTTAATAATATAAATTCTGACTAATACGCTAGTGGGTTTACTGGCTGGCACGTCGGTAAACATTCCATTCGTACTATTTTCAATAACGCATTGTGGTAAAGGTAATCGACAGATTTTCAGATTGCCCTACATTATATAGAAAAGAAGAAAGTTAGTGCGTACTCGCTTATGAAGCTCTAAAGATGTTCTAGAATACAATAAGCATGATTATCGCTGTATCTCTACAACTAATATGTAAGAAACAAACTATATGCAATATTATAATGCACTATAATAAGAATGGTTATCTACAGATTGTAATTTCAATATGAAATTGCAAAGTTACGTATATTTTTATCATCATACTTTGAAACAACCGACTATTTTAGCGTTATCATCAGCATTATTATCGCGCTTGCCACGATAGAGGGCAAATGACTGTATTACATCCTTAAAACCACCAAATTCCGGTTGATTTTCTAACTCACTGTCATAAATCTAAAAGGCAAGCAGTAAAAACGAGGCTGTTTGATTTGCTAAAATGATCGTACTAAAGATATTTCTCAGCAGTTACTCAATCAATTTACCTTTAGTGTATCGACATTAGTAAATTTTTTGCGATCAACATCACTAAAAGTGTTTTGTGATGCATAGTACTTTGACCACCAATCAATTTTTTCATGCTCCGCTTGACTCTTCTTAGTTGCTTGTGAAGGTGCAGAGCGTTTAACTGTTGTTGATCGAGTGATAGATCTACCATTTCGCCTATTAGCTGTGTTTTCTCCTGCAGTCCGATCAGGATTATTATTAGCACTATCATTAACAGCCTCATGTTGATGTCGCTGGTCCACGTTGGCAACTGTACCATTTCCATCTGTAATTCCATGCACGTTATTATTAGCACCAGCTAAATGACCAGTACCTGTGCCAGCAAAATCGACAATCTAAACAAATCAGATAAGGAGAGTATTAAAGTGCATCTAGTCCAGCTAATTACAGAAGATGGTAGTAATAAGGACTCAAATGATTTGTTCTGTGCAAATATATAAGTAAAGATTATTACTAGATGATAGTAGAGGCATATTAATCTTACAGGCATGTCAATCGGGTTACTGTGAGCTCCAGGTATGGAAGATACTGATTGGGCTTTGTCAAGATCAGTTGTAGATTTGCTATCAGCTAAAGCTGGATGTATCTTATTTGACATCTGAATATTAATGCTCGATTGATTGGCGAATAATGAGCCTGCTCCCTTCTTCCGACGTTTATACCAAAATCTATCGAAATTATCGATCTCGCAAGAACCAACTAAATAAAATCGACCAAAGTTACGATAATCCTTAACGCGAACGGCAATTGGAGCCCAGAATAACGTATTTTCTGGTACTTCCTAGCAAAATCAAATACGCATATGATATAAACAGTTTTGAAGTTACATTTACAACTATACCGTATTTAACATCACGATGCTGTTTTCATAAATGAACTATAAAAATCTTCGGAAGCTAAAAAAGTTCACTATGAGTAACAAATGCATGGCCTAGAATTAATTAACTAGAATCAATATGATTACCACATCCAAAGAAGCAACAACGTTAGTGAAGTTGGGATTTTTCTTAGCATTACTACAAATTTCAGACTGGACTACTTGACCACCACACTCAATTTCTATTTGTGGATGAACAACGGCTTGTAGCTGAAGTTTTCTCATATCTCTTACACCCCAAAATAAAACCTGTTTTCATTGATAATTAGAATATATTATAAAAAAATTTGGAAAGTAGTCTGATAATGCATCAAGAGATACTGCTAGATTAAAGTTTTTACGCTATAGAAGTATTCTAAAATTCTTGATTCTAATTGTAAACATTACTCAGTTGCGCTCATTGCAATTACCTGAATACGAAATTTGCTTAGAACTGGTCGAATTCCACTGGGAACGGGAATAACTTTTTCTATTTCATTTCGAGTGACGGCTAAAGGTAATGGGGGTAGGTAATCAAAATCCATTCCAAATTCTTGTACCTAAATGAATGAAGTTATCAATACGAACTTAAGCTACTTAACAAGATGAGAGTACAGTTTAGTATCTTTTTACTACTATCCCATGAACAAAAGCTAACAGTAGCCTTACTCAATGAGATGATAATGTAACGCTTGAATAACTTATATTTTTTACTGTATTCAATCAAAGCAACATGTTCGCGTATACTAACCTCGAAGAGTTCAAATGCCGCTAGAATTGCTCCAGCTTCGATTCCACCTTTATATAGTGAATACCATCTCAGCGTGGACGGAAATTTAGGTTTAACATATTCCTCACTCAAAATTTTAACATTAGGTTTCGCTACTGTTCTACCAAGAAACTCTGAAGAACCCTGATAATTAAAATGTACAGATTTAAGAAATTACGAACAAACGTCAATGTAGTAAAAATAGAATGAATATAATGCAGATCCACTATACGGTGTAATCTAGTATTTATCACGTGAAATAGATAAATATTGAGTATCAAACATAGTGGTGACCAATTGCAATTAATTAAAGGGCTCACCACAAGATCATTATCAAAGACATCAATAACGATGGTTCCAGGACTTTTAACAATATCTTCTAAAGTACCATATAAAACGATTGATCGCATTCTAATTGTCTCATCCCAAATTGGGCTCAAAGTTTCTCTAATTATTCTTGTTTCCACTGTTATGTTAGAATACATGATTCTAGCGAAAGGATCTAGATTCAATTTATAAATATGAAACAAAACAATTGTTGGTCAGTCATTACAAGCATATTTTGTGATTGATGTTTTTGTAAATAGGGTTGGCCCATTGTGTTTATGCATTAACTTTTAATTCCTACCAGAAAATCCTGATTTATCACAAGCCGCTAAACTACGAGCTTGATAGAGATAAGCTCGTAGTTCGAATTTGTGTTCCTCAATATACTTGACAGACTTTGGCGGAACCAAAGAGAACTCATCTGCATTTTTTAACTGTTTAGAGAAATACGAGTAGATTTCGATATAATTATAAAGCACATTTTAAGTCGCAAATTCATACAAAAATAAAATTTTTCTTCATGCTCATTGTACCTAACCTTATTTGTTAATTTATAACCTTTCGGTATACCACGGACATAATCTTTTTTGTGGGACTGCAAGCCGAGCCATAACATAAGGCGCACTCTAGCTTGAACAGTATTCTCATTAAATCCATAGCCCTTTTTGCCAGGTACCTAAAATGAATAAAATTTAATTAAATTAAGTATATTAATAACATGGCAATATCTTGTTTAGCTTTACGTCGTTACATTTTAATACGCAACTACTACAGAGACGCTTCTTAGTGCAAAACTTGATTACAACATCATCGATATGTAGTAGAAAAATATTGCTGTATTACCCTGTGATAAAGTGTCTATTTAAAGTGAACACTTCCGTATCTTGAGAATAAATCAATTTATTACATAGATTACGTCTTCTACTAAGTACCAAATTAGCTACGACTAACTGAACTTCGGAAATGAAATCTCGTACTTATATACTTTTGGTTATAGGGTATCATCAGGATACAGGGATCAATATCTATCTTAATTAAGTTAGCATTTCGTTACTAGCGTATTTCAAGGTATGAAAGTCACCTAATACAGCATCCCTAACAACTACTACAATCTGCATTATAACTACTAACACAAATACTCACTTATACAATCTTATATTCTACGATTTAGCACTCACAAGGGTATTCATCTGACTAATTAACACACGATTTACAATACTCGTACAATCTTACAATCAATGTTTAAGATATACTTGGAGCTGCACTACATACCCGTAAAAAGAAAGAGGTCATCTTTCCACAGTCTATTCCCCGTTGGCATTCTAACTCAGAGTGGATAATATCAGCAGCAGGTATCCTTGCGTAAGCGATTCGTTTACCACCAGCTATCATCCATAAGAAAACGTCCGGCAAGGCTTGTTGCGGCTATCAAATAAACAAAATCATCCACAATAACTATAGTATAGATGTCAACAGTAAGTGATTTAAATTACGTTACTCTATAGTGTAAGGTAACTGACATTTAAAGTAATGTTGATGCTAAAGTTTGAACTATTTGATTTCAGAAATTGTAATGCGGAGCAGTTAGAGCGGAATGAAGCATGGAAGAAATTAGTAAAGATTACACGAATTCGTTAGTTTACCGTATCAACCAAATTAGTCAATCTTTCTACCACTTGATGAAAGCTAGCTAGTTTTCCCTTAATATACACTAGGGTATCGGACCGTTTACTTATTTCGTATGCTAAATTCGAAACGACAATCTTTGATTCCAAGGCAATCATTGGTTAATAGAAAGGTTCTTGATAGCGCTCTAAGATTAGTTAATTCAAGTTTGTCACATTTCTTACCATTTCGCGGCTGCACAATTTCATTCTAGCAATATCTAGATCTGTTATTCCTAATCGGTGGCTAATACTCTCATTTTTAAGCATGATAACCACTTGGCTAGCAAAGTGGATACCAATGAAATAAAGATGAGTGAAACCATATTGTACACAAATAAATTTAATTCTTTATAGAAAATAAATCCTATAGCGCTACTCAAATTTAGAGCTAACTTGCATCCAGCAATTAATTCATCCAGGACGGCTCTAAAGTAATCAATAGTTCGTGCATCTTTATGCTTTGCCAGATCTTCTATTTCAACTAATCCACATAACTATTTTCCGTTTATTAATGGAGTAGAAAGGAACAGAAAATTTTGTTTTGATATGTAGTTAAATTGTATTGATTGTCGGCTTATACAGTATTATTCTTTACTTACTAAAGAATGGCGAATCTTATCAATCATATTCGCCAAGTAAATCCTATACAGATGAGCAAGCCACTTGCTTTGAATATATAGACAAGGCTTCGTATTCTCCCAGGGTATGAAGAAATAAGTACTATGGCAACAGAGAAGATATTAGCGCTTTATTTGCAAACTGTGAAAAGAAAATTACTATTCTAAATTGATTGGACGATATCGTACTCATCAAAAGAATCCGGCAACATTGGGTGTGTTGTTGCATGATGATATAGGATATGTTCAGATCCATGATGCTCTTCAGCAGTGCTAACTACCGTGTGTGCGTCATCGGAGGCATTAAAATCGATCTCATTGCCATAATTACCTACATAAGTTTGTATGTAAGTGAGTTTAATCTATACAAAATGTAAGTCTTATAGACTTGTAACATACTGTGTTTTGAAATTAGAATAGGTGTAATATTGGAGTCTCACCAATAGTTACTTAGTACATGTACACTACGGTATTTACTTACCCATAGTTAGTTCCAATTCTACAGGTTTGTCACTATATTTTTTGTTTATCATACTACATTCTGATAATAACGCAAATAGTAAGAACCTTTCCTGTTTCCCAAGCAGTGTCTATGGTTGAAAAATAGATTTATTTAATCTCCAAGGTACGTATTTAACTACCAAACGGATAAATATTTTAATATTTTACATTATTTATAACAACCTTAGGCAAGGCGGGAATTGACGAAACTTTATTACCACATGCTACCGATCCATGGTGCGTTTCACATAAATGGACCGTTAACGATATAACCAATCTCCCACGATATGCTGCACCTTCTCCCTAAACATGAGCAAATAAGAAAAGTTTTCCGCTTCAGAATAACTTTTATTGTGTCTAAATATAAGCTACGACAGGTATATCCATATTTATTCAATTAAAGGAGATACATACTTCGCCCTGATTTAGTTTGATATTTTCATCAAACATAGAAAAATCTCTAGTCGATCCATAGAGATAAATGCTTGTAGGTCCATATGTAGGCAGAAAACCTAAATTTGAAGATATATGCAATACGCGTATAACTTCTGATGATGTATGTATAAATGGCTAGCTTACACGATCGGAATTGTGTCTCCAATCTAACTATATAACATAACGTAGTTATAGCAGAGTCGACGAATATCTCCTCAATGGCATGTTTAACGCCTTAGGCACAACATTTACCTTTAGATAATTTATTATAAGATATCTTGGACATTTCTATCACATGGGTAGCAATAGGAACATCGGTTGCTACAGCATCACTACGAATACATAAGATTAAAGAATGACGTTGTTCATTATAACTTGAACTAAAATTGTTAATAATCATCTCGTGAGAAATTAGTATAAAATTTATAAGAAATCGGTGTAAAGAATTGCAGCAAAAAAGTTGTGGGAAAGTTACTAGAAATACCAAGTGGAATATAGTATAACTAATTGGTATCACGACTACCACTAGGCCGGTAGGATAGATCATGGTAGATTCGGGCTGATAATGTAAACATTATATAAGCGAGGACACGTTGTGAATTAGCTGCACGTTTAGATCAGATACTACTGCTTCTTTGCTCTACATCTACTCTTTAATTCGATCATTTAAGATCTTGCTTTCTACTAACTTTATCATTCAGAGTTAGAGGAGCGAGGTGTATTTCGCAACTACTATACGAATATTTCAACAATTAAACATTATGGAGTAAATATAACCATAGTGAAGTATAATATATCTTACGTTTCAAACGTAGCCTAACATGGTTATGAAGAATTAATTTCTTATTCGAAATAGCAAAGAATACACAGTAGTTTACAGTATTGCAAAAAAGCCGCAACATTTAAATACGTTTATATTACTATGAGTCTATACCTTAGTCTTTTAATATATACTCAAATATTAAATAATCGCTGAAAATACTTACCTATCTTTTATTTGAACTTTTGCAGTAGCACATAATGGCGGAAACTATTGGTTTGGTAATAATCATGAAGAAAATTTTAGTTCATGCTGTAACCCGATAATTATAAGACTGGCAATTTATTTGGTTAATATGAAAACTATTTCATAAGACTGCTTACTAAATCAGTAATACAAATGCATTCGTTCCATATTGGTTTATAGGTATGTCTTTTTACAGGAGTTTTTACCTATATTGTAATTTAGGGACGAAATGCAACGATAAGTGTAATCAGATAAGTCACCAGAAATAACAGACTTTATCACAATGTACAGTAAAATTAACTCACAGAATGCCCAAAAAAATTGACCTCAACGTAAGCATCTGTAAGTTCTTTCTTTGACTGTTGAAAGGTAATAAAACATAATCAAAAAAGTTAAATAATTTTGGCTTAATATAATAGTAATATATGCTATTATTGAGGAGTCTTGCAATGTATAGTCGTAAAGATTAGCGATATTCTACGAAACCGCATAGGCAAATCGCACCTCTCCGCGTGTGATAACTCGCTTGATATTTGGTAAAATACCACTATCCACTGATTACATGCGTGAAATAAAATAAGAAGCAATTAGCAGAAATCTGAGATTGCAGGCCAAAGTAATGACCGTTACACTGTATTTGCTTACTCTGTGGTAGACCATCTGCATAATAAATATTAAATTTATAATTCGCTCTAGCTCTGTCAGCGGAACCTCCATCCGGGCTCAGTAGGTTGCTAGTTTTATTTACAATCATATAGAATTAATATCATGTTAAAATTCAAATTAAAAGTATTTATAATATATAATCAGTCACCTGTCAATGTCGTCTTCGTTCTTAACTTTCCCTGGGGTTGAAATACTCGTTCCACGTGCTATAACTGCAATGTCAACCTTTAAGTATCCCTACACATTGACATTAAAATGGAAAATAATACTTAACGACAGATAATTATGATAGAGCGCATCTAGTTTTATTAGTTTCTCAATAATAAGCAAATAATTTACTTTGCAAGAATTTGTATGATCGTGTGGATCGGTAAGATAGGCCCATTTACGGTAAAATTGATGATCTGATGATAAATTCAGGTATTAACAAGTTTATGAATATTATTATCTCATTCAAAGTACTGTTTCGACAGTAATAATCAAATTTTATTTATATTATAACAGCAATTACTTACCGGGCGCATTATATACTGTTTGAATGTCAAGCTGTAAAATTAAGGTGAACAGAATACGTTGAAAAGAGAATGCAAAAATTATTTGCAAAGTTAATTTAACCCACTAATGTACAGGATACAATTACTAATCAAAAGTTAGACTACAACACACCTTATACATTCCAACTAAAGAATGAGATTTAAGTGATAATTTTCCGCCAGTTGAATTTACCTACATATATATTCAAGTTAAGAAAGAAAACAATATACAGGATGTTAGCATAACGCTGACGATACTTTAAATACAAAATAGTAAAGTATAGTCAATGTTATTTTACTATCTTACTTCAAGTAGAATCATTTTTTCCATCACTAAGGCATGAGGTATCTGATAGTCAAATACAAAAAACTAGAAAGGCAAGAGTATATAATAAAAGCACTTTAGTAACAAGTTTATCTCAATTATAGACTCAAGTTATATGGTTGGTAAAATTGACAATCCAACAGTGACTATTTTATTTGCTACTACCTCATAATGTTATATACCTCATTATATAACGGACAATTTGTAGCTTCTTTGACGTTCGTCTTTTTCTTATCACTACCAACAGTAACATGAACTACAGGATTGATATTTATACCACTTAGTTGTCGAGCTTCGTGAATCCGGATGTTAACCTATGTATATACCGGGAAAGTATAAATATGTAAACCTATTAAAATTATTCATAAGTCATGATTTCAACTTCTTTACGCCATATATATCCAAGTTTAACTATACGAGTAAATAACTTAGTTAGGAGTAATAGTAATATTTTTGTACAGTTCGTATACCTCGTAAGTTTGTGGTACAACAATCTTTCGTTCCTTCTCCAACTTTCCGAATGCATTATAAATCTCTCTATCAAAGTGATGATAAAAAATAATTAAAAAAAATGTGGCAGTTACGGACGAAGAACGATGCTCGTTCTATTCAGTTGTCTAGTTTAAGGATTATCGAAAATGCGTATTATCATACCTATGCCTCTGGGGGGCTTGCTGTTCTAGAGAAGGCGGATGAGGAACTTCCGGTAATTCGACAGGCTTACCGTGCTTAAAGCCAAAAATTTGATCATCTTCCGCTTCTGAATTTTCTGAATCAGTCAGTTTATCACTATGACTGCTATTTCCATCGTTGTTACCCCTAAATGGTAGTTTACGTAATACCTTTCGTATGTTTGGACTGTTGATAAAATATAAAGATAAAATAAATATTCAAGTTATTTTAACATCAATATACATTTTCTTAAGTGAAAGATAGTTTAAGCTGTCTTTATAATGTACTAAACATTCTTTATTATTACTAAGCATAAAGACTACGCTATTGCAATGCTTTGTAAAAATATCCACATTTTGAATTATCAGATCCCAAACTCACTGAAATTTAGCCGGAAATCTTCTACCGACTTCATTTGGTATGTCAGAAATTTCTGATTCTGCAAGATCTAGACTCGTAGCAGAATTCCTTCTTTTTACGTATGGTTCCACATGTGGGCCATCAAAGTGATCAACATAGCATATATTGCTATTTCCCGTACGTTTTTGTCCGCCAGGCGGTAAATAGTTTAATTCTAACACAATTAAGGAATTCTGTACATAGCGCAACATGGGTTAGGCACGTAAAATATTGTGACAATATCGAGCTACATTATATAATAATTAATTTAGAATATTAAATAGAACTGACGGCTATGGTAGGTTTGAATGTTACAGATCACATCTATACCATATATCAGTACAATAGCTATCAATCACACGCGTAGATTGTTATCATAACTAACCGGCAAGATTGCGTTGTTAACATCTAAGAGATTTTCCGATAATTCAAGTTTTTCTTCTACAACTAAACTTCTCAATGATGTTTTAAATCTGCAGACAAACCTAGAACAAGCAAATAAGTGTTTTCTTTCCACAATTATATCATTCATGTTTAAGTAATTATAAAGTCCTGGAATCCTATGCAACAAAAATGCAATGATTACGGTTTCGTATTATGCGTATCTACTATTTCTTACCTATTATGCATATGCTTTCGAAACTGATAGACTTTAATCTCAATAAAATCTTCTCGGTTAAGAGGACTGTTAAGCCTCCAATCTAAATCCTAAAGACGTACAGTGTATCAAGTGAGTTTATCACGTTAATGAAATATTAGTTATATAACAATTGCTCGGTTATAATTCAATTTATTAAGATGCAATTAGTTCGAAAGCTTCTTACGCAATATATTATGTACTGGATGCATAGATGCTACGTTTGTTATCAGCAGTTTATAACCTGGTCTATCTGCCGTATTACATACGGCAGACAAGCATCTCAGCATGATCTTACCTGATTCCAATCTTCAACTGCATTTTGTAATATCGCAGTTTGCTCACTTTCACCTAAAATAAGGTGATCAATATAAAATTTAAAATCGCATCTTACACATAGTCATTTTTTGTATTTAAATGAATTACCAAGACCGTAAAGAGATTGATAATACGCGTAAAACTTCTTACATTGGTAAATACAAGTCGTATAGTATGTATAATTTTCGTAACGTTGAAAGCATTAGAGTGTATTACTGTACCGTACATTATCGTTATAGCTCTAGTATCCTTGATTGACTATATATAGATCTTTACAATCCATATGTGTACAATGGCGTCAACATTATTGCAAAACATATGGTTGGTAGATGTTTATCGTGTACTACAATATTTTACTTATTGAACTAGGTTGAAAAATACAGTAGAATAAATACAGCGTAGTCATGACGTAGGTCAGACGGTAACGATGAAGACATGATAGTAGCTGTAAGTAAATTTTTTTAAAACTAGCTGACCGTCAAACGCTATATTCTACTCCGATTACCGATATCTCTACGCGTATCTAAACATATCTGTGCAATCAGTCTATGTAAACTGTTTATAAATGGTGTAAAAATGATCAAACAGCCTTCAAATTCAAAATAAAAAGACGACTTAATTGATTCACAACCGTTGCAAAGTCGTCTGATTAGAATCTTGTTGTAACCCAAACAATAACCATGCTTGATAATATTAACGAAGCGTATATCGCTATTCAGGATATACATATACATTTACTCGTCGAATTAGCAAAATGGAATTCACCCGTTGTAGTCTCGCAGAAATATTAACTATTATTCCAGATGTAATAAGATAACATACTATGCTAATTTAAAATAAAAAAAGTTAAAAAATAGAAATCGCAGGGGACATGTACTAAAGGCTTAACGATTCCAGCACTACCATTGGAAATCAACTCTCGATTCCTACACCGACGTGGTTGAATTCCCTCCAAAGCACGCATTATTACCGTTCAATTATTATCTTTACCTCTAAATAATGCCCTAGCAAAATAGGTACATTGAGATTTGAGTGGTCCAATCGATTTTATAGTTAAATATAAAGCCATTTCTTTCTTCTATACAAGGTTATTTCCTCCTATCAACAAGTAGTCACCAACAGCTAACTATTGGACATTGGTTCTTCTTCTCTTCCATATCTAGGAAATAGTCTACTGTATGCGACTGGATTGAGTATGGTATTTATGTACGTATTGCGTTTTTACCGGGGGCTTGCGCAGTTTAAACAGTGCGCATACAAGAAACTGCGCACGTGCAGTGTACAGTACAGTACAGTACAGCGTAAAGTAGATACAGTACAGTAGCACAGTATGTACTGTACAGTACTGTACTGTACAGTACAGTATTGTCCGTACATTACAGTACGGTACAGGACAGTAGACGTTTCAGCTGGATGATACAGTACAGTTCTGTACAGTACTGTATAGTGTATAATACTGTGTTCAGTACAGTACAGTACTGTAAATAGTCCATGGTCCGAGCATCCGACTCACGCTTGAAATGTAGTACTGCGCAAACTCGAACAGGAAACTAAGGTAGCTAATATACACTGTATATTATACAGTAGAGAGAATCATGTGATCAATATTCACCAGTATCATAGAAACGGTAAACAACATGCCGGAGCAAACGACGATGCCAGCGACCATTACTCAAAATCAAGATGACTCCAAAGAAGTTACAAATCCTGAAGAAAATGTAAAAGATACAGAAGAGAAACCAAACGAACAGCTCCAACCAAAGCCGGATATAGATTTATACGATGAACCCAAGTTATCGGAAATCATTATCGAATAGTAAGTACTGTGATGATAGAAAATTTTCTCCCTTCGTTTGCTTATGTTGATATCGGATTTATCCAGTATACGTTGTACAGTATACACTCATATAGCAAAGATTTATGATATGAAGTATACGCTGCAAAATTTTTAGCTTCTATTGGATTTGCCTGATATTATAATTGAGATAGAATTATCATCGTGTCAGCTTGCATTTATATAGCAGATAGAATATACTGTACAATGTACAGAGTGTCCAGTACAATCAGTACGGTAATTGCTGCCTAATATGTTACGGTATGCAGTGATATGCCAAGTTAACTGCCAATGTGCGATAAATCTGCTCTATTTAGTTATGATGGCGAAAGACAGAAAGGCTTATTTCATGGATATGGTACGGCATATTTCATTGGAGGAAATATTTATCAGGTATGACATAAATGTGTGAGATCAGCGCCATGCAAAATATACGAGTCGTATATGTAAAATAGAATGCATGGGCTGATATGGAGTGTTCGACGGTAACTGTTAGGGTAAATTTAGCAAATTATTAAAAATCAGATTTAGTTTCATTATGTAACAAAATAAGCATAAGGCAAACCTTTAACATTAAGAAAAGTATTTACAAAGCGTATAAAGACATCTATGATCATTATATTTTAGGGAGAGTTTCATGAAGGAGAAATGCACGGAAGTGGTAGATACGTTTGGTATGATGGAGTTATTTACGAGGTCAACATAATTAGACATCTAATACTCTATACAAGTAGAACAGGAATTAACTTATTTAAATTAATATGTACCAATGTAAAATTTAAACATCGATATCGGTATAAAATGGACCGGAAATTTCTTATCAATTTACGGATGTAAATTAGTGAATGGATTTGAAATTTTGATGCAGTGTTATTAAACATTAGGGTGACTTTAATCGTAATGAAATTACGGGAGCAGGCAAATATACATGGACGGATGGGAGGTAATGTATTGCATATATGATTAATGATATATGATATTATACAAGCAAATTGATTGACTGATCTTCCTTCAAGATTAATGTTTTTCGCTTTTTTATCTCCTGTATTAGTCAATATGAAGGTGAAGTATACGCTGGTTTACGACATGGTAAAGGTTCTTATCGCAGCTCGTCATGTCCCTCATCATACATAGGGCAGTGGATTCTTGGAAAGCGCCAAGGATGGGTAAAATGATTCACTATTTGTCAAACCTGATATCGATTTACGCCTGTATACCTTTTATCTAGAGTATTACATGTCCCTATTTCTTTTATGCTTTAATTAATAGGGAGTTATGTATTATGATGTTGATGGGCTATCTTATTATGATGGCCAATGGCAAGATAATAATCGACATGGATTTGGTGTTAGACGATATCGTTCCGGGAACGTTTATGAGGGCGAGTGGGAAGACGGCTTACGTAATGGAAAAGGCACAATGAGATGGTTAGATCAGAATGAAACTTATTCCGGCATTTGGAAAGATGGCGTTCAGGTAAAAAATAGCCTTTATGATGTGATAAGATTGATAGTGCACCGCACTTATTCCAACATTTCAATAACACATTATATAGCATAGTCTAGGCAGTTATGAATTGATTTAATATCTCTAATTTCTACATAAACCGATTTAACATAAAAATCTTATCGCTCATAGCATGGTCATGGAGTACATACCTGGTTTGTTTCTAGAGCAGTTGATACACAGGTAAAGTAGTTTTTCCTCTATATCGCATATGTGCTAATATCTTAACATTGTATCTGAGATATAATATTGCTATTTAAAGTGAATAGCTGGTAATTAATGATATTATTTTTATATCATTTCGTTTCAGTTTCCTGTTCGTAATCAATACATTGGCAATTGGCAACAGGGAAAACGTCATGGGTTTGGTGTTTTTCATTACGCAAAGTAAGAAATGTTCTGTTTACACAAAAAAATTAAAATGCTTATGTCGGTAAATCATGATAAAATAAATAATTTTAATGTTTCCTCAGCGGCGCAAAGTATGATGGTCAATGGTCAAATAATATGAAGCATGGAAAGGTAAATTTTAGCTATCTATCCTTAAGTCAGTTCCGTTATTTTATCTATTGATAAGTTACTTCAAGATCAGTTCTATGTAATAATAACTTGCACTTGCATATCTTACCATCAAAAGGGAAAATTCTATTTTAAGAACGGAACAGTGTTCGATGGATCTTTTGAGGAAGATCACATGGTAGAATATCCACTACATGAAGATCCCAATAACAGACCTAAATCTCCACTTGGTAGTCCCTCCAGACTAAAATCACCGCTAGGATCTCATACAGGTTAGCAGTGATAAAGAATGGTTTCGAATAATTAACAAACATTCTGGTACTGTTATACGATGGATAGTTTCAGTACTAACAGTTTACTTATTATCGTCATAGATGAATCAATTGATGGAAGTTTCGAAAGTAATCTGTTGATAAATATTGAAAACTTACTAACTAGTACAGATGTATTCGATATGAAAGATGAGCTTGCGAAGGTAAAATTTAAACTCATTTAGTTATCGAAAATTTTTATTACGGTACCAGATCTATAGCCCTGAGAATTAGTCTAATTTTGCAATTTATATCTTTTATCATTAAACTTAATGTTAGCTAAATAACAGCTTATCTTAGCTACAAAAGTTGGAAAATGTTATTAGTATTATTTTATATCAAAACTCGCATTTACCATATTTGATAACTAATTTACGTTCTTAACGTCTCTCAGATTCGCAACGTTATGTTGAGATACGTTAGTCCTTTGAAACGATTTTACCGCTTTTACTCACGTCTTGGGCACAGCGCTTCTGTTGATAATACATTTTGTATGAGAAGATTTCAGGTAATCCGAGTGTTCCAAAGGTTAATAGTTCTATGTCAATGTTAGGACAAATTGAATGATTGGGTTAGAATATTTACATTGCTTAAAACTATTTCATCTTGTGAAATTTCTAGTTTTGGTGTTTCCTACGTGATTGCCACATACATCATTATGGATTAACATTAACGGATATGAATCGAATTATAGGTAAATGTAATCATAGAAACTCGCAAAATGTATCAAAAGAGCTCTTTTCTTTTAAATTCTACGAGGTTTAGCTTATTTTTATGATTATTGTTTAAGTTTAATGCAGTATTGTTATTCTAGCTAGAGCAATAAAATCTTATTTAATCATATCGATCTAGCAAATAATATTTCTGAGCTGGTTTAGTACAGTTACAATTATTAAATGGATTATCATACATACTTTGTTAATTTTCCTATTAGAAAACTAAATTTGATTTATTAGCGCAATATATAGCAGTTTAAAACTGGCCAAAATTTCAGTAGTAAGATGAGCTGACATTACGTCCACAATCTCCCTTTCAACTTGCAATTTCTAGCAAAACATACTAACAATCGCTCAGGAGGTGAGCATGATCCTAATCAGATACTTCTCATCCGAGATTATTTCGATGCTATTGCCATTTTAGCTAGCGCTATATATGGAGCAGAATTTAATGGGTAAGAGTTATAACAATATCAAATTCGTTAAGTTTTAATGCTATAATCAACTTATATAGCTTATTATACTTCTATATTAATCGGCATACTTTGCTACTGTTATGACGTTAATAGTGATCAAGATAAATTAGCTAAATGCTTACGGAAATTAATCACAGAAAATATTCTCAACAGTGCAACGCATGTTAAAGGTAAAGCTAAATTAATTATAATAGGAAAATAGTTTTATTTTTCGATCTGGTCATTTGATACAGATATCGCGAAATCCATGATTAAAGATTTAACTTCACAGAGAATCATATGGATAATAATCATTTTATGGTTCATTATAGGCCCGTTTCTGCATGATTCTCGTCGATCAACAACAGCTATGCAATTAATGCCGAGAACTCTAGAATTATTTCACAGTGTTTGCTTACATCGACAGGTAATTGCAACTAAAATTAATAGTAAGAAAATTTCCACGATATGATAACTACCCCAATCTTAATTTAATAACAGACAATCGCTTGGAGAATGATTACGATTTATAAAGTACTTGTATTGTTGTTTCTTCAACGTCCATCACCATTTCATGCTTTGCAAACTATTGATAGTAACATATACGTGGAAAAGCTAGCTACCTCTAGGCATAAATTGATAAATTTTCTTAAATTAAGCAAGATGTAAATTATTCTAATTTCTTACCTGTCCTATCATGTATTATGCCGTCTGATAACGAATTTTTAAATAGAATTAGACATACACACTTTACACAGTAATAATTATCAAACATTTTAAGATAGTTAATACAGTAAAAAAGTTACAAAGTTACAAACGATACTCTTATTAGATCAATGGTTCTATTCTTTAACCTAATTAAACTTTGCAATTAATTTTCATAAATATAGAATAACTCAAACGGCTTCACCCTAAGAATGCGGACCTTCTTACTATTACTTAAAGTAAGTGAATTAGTTAAATTTCGAAATTATAAAATAGATATCGCTAATAAAGTAAATTTATGTCCTAAATACCTGGTTATAACGTGATTCTATAGGATTTAGGACTAATCGATGAGAATCTAACGGCAAAACATGTTATTGATATACTCGGTGCAAATAACCCTAATGCTCTACAAGATGGTGACTGTAATCTCGAAATTGAGGTAATGTAACTCATGATCGATAGGAGAATGAAACGTAACGTATATTGTTATTGGGAGCTGTAACTAACATTTATCGTTTCATTCATAATTGAGTTCTTCTATCAATTCTATTATTCTAGATGACCTTTTTAGAATTTTTCGAGGCTTTGGTATCATGCGCACCTATTAGTATCCGCTTATCATCTGATCGAGAATCCATTGTAACTAGACCATCTACAGTTATGTCAGCTAGACCTTTGTCAGAGCCGGTTAACATGGATATAGGAGCTCAAATGCAAATGGATACCTCAATTAATAGCATTACTAAAATCAACGAAACAACAGCCAACGATAACCAGACCATTCTACCGGTGGATGAAATTAAAGAATCTGTTAAAACGAGTGAAAATAGTGAAGCACAAAAACCAGGCGATACGGCTTTACTAACTCCAGTACAATCAACTGATAGTCGGGCTGATTTTGTAGATGGCAAAAATCAAGTAAAGACAAATGCCATTACTCGAGATGATAGCATGGTATGTGCCTCATATATTTGTAATTTCATATTGTAATGGTTGATATCATTGCACTAATCAATGTTATTGTCTATTTTAGCGCAACGCTAGTGGCATAGTCCGATCCGAATCAGGTCGAGAAATCTTTTCTGGTAAGTAAAATGTAACTGTCTAATATATCGACAGAATTCTTTTATTTGTCGACGCGAGTATTTTATCAATAATATTAGTGTATTTGCAAACATATTACTTTTTAAACAAATGTAGAGCAAATTCTTGATGAACGAGCAATTAGTCAAATTAGACCATCTTATGAAACCCCAATGAGTGGAGCATCACAGATATCTGAATCGTTACTAGAAGAAGATAAAGTAACTATGATTGCTAATCCAATTGGTACTATCCATTCCTCTGGTCGAGAATCTAACACTCACAGTTCGCCGGATGCTTATATTGCATGGGCTAAGAAGATTCACTTATTTTTTAATGAAAGACTATTTGTTGCAGCTGAACAGGCTAATCTAATTGTACACTCTATAAATATCGAAGATATATAAGATGCTCACACTGATCTTTATATTCATCATTTATAATTTTCTTGTAAATACTCAACTTTTGTAGTGTATTTGTAATAAGTCTTTTAAATTAATGCCTAGCCAAGCTATACATAGGTGCAATTTTCGAAAAGTAAATGGTATAGAGTCATCACGAAATATACCAATAACAATCTTCTGATCTTATACTGGGTAAACTATTCTATTCCATGGATACTTAACTTAATATTGACGTTATTGCAGCGACACATGATGTATCACTGATTAACATCAAATATTTTGAATTCTAACGATTACAAAATAGAAAAACATTTCTATACCTAACTGTAGATAATCCACAGTATCTTGTTTTGTAACATTGTAGCTAATTTATATCTCTTGCATTACATATTAAGTTTGTTCAATAAATTCTACAGTAGTTAAATACATAAAATAATTTTACCTTTGTATGTTTACGCATCTTATTGAACATGTTATTGTAGGAATTAACTAAAATTCGTGGATATATTTTGCATGCAAAAAGTTTTTTAAAATAACTGGTCAAATTATAAATTAATTTCAATGCTTGAGGATTTAGCAAGAAGCTATTGATGCTAAATTTAAAATTGCAGTACGAAAGTTTATATTTATAAAAGTTTATAATATCTAAACTTTAAATCATATGACTAATGCTCGATAACATAAATATACAGACTTGAAGATTTAGTACTTTAATCCACAATAGCAAACTTCTGTATTTAGTATAGCTGAAAATGCACGGGTAATTCACAGATAATAAATCAACCCGAGAGTTAATTACATATAGAATAAGTACCAACCGTGCCAAAGCGAGCATTAATTACATATTACGATAAATTTAGTACATTTGGGGAGTTAGGGTGGAATAAATTTTCCTAAGCTAATAATCATGGCCATAGGTAGGCTATTTACGATTCGATTAAAATTTAGTACTAAAGCAAGCTCTAGTTATATATCACGATAAATTTAGAATATTTGGTAATTTAGAGTAGAGTAGATTTTCCTAAAATAATAATTATAATCGTATCGATAAACTGCATACGGTTTTGATCGGAATTCGATACATGCATGACGAATTTGGTAGTTATTTTCTGATCAAATAATTTAGTTCTATTAGGTAATTAAGTTCTAGTGTATGTTTTAATATCCTAATTTTACAACATTGGTTACTAAAATTGCTAAAGTGCTTTTTACTAATAGTTTATCAATGCTGTAGCTACTTGTTAGAGAGTCTCAGGTATTACTCTAAACTTTTTGTATGATTATTTATTTTTGAAGGAGTGACTGCTAGGACTATCATAGGACATGATAGGTTAGTAATTTTAGTTTAATAAGTGAGGAACATCTCGTAGAATTATTAAAATTTTTATAGCCTTAAACCCCAATAAAATTTCATATACTTTTGTAAATTGTTTTTCGAACCAGTCTTGCTAAGTATCATTTCATTTATCTTCAATGTAAATTTACCCCTTTTCCTTCTCTGTTATTTGGCAAAGGCGAATCGAAAAATAATTTCTGTACGCCTACGTACTCGTGACTAGCAAAACTTGTGAAGTAGCTTTCTGCTTGGTGATTTTTGTGTCAAAGATGTAAATCAACCAGATTACAAATCCATTTTCTTTTACAGTCAAATGCCAGCTAAACCCAAGTGCCAATGACAATTACTAATGGCAATTCAAACTCATTTCGTTGTCAATGTCGACCTGGCTATACCGGAAATAAGTGCCAAACAGGTGCATTAATAGTAACATACTTTATGTAATGGAAATACCTATATTAGATCGTCATTATTACGTCTTCATATGCAAATAATATCGAATATGTAGCTTTTTAGCTATTAATGAATGTCTCTCGAATCCATGTCATCATGGGAAGTGTGTTGATCTACATACTAAATATCAATGTCATTGTAATAAAGGAGTAACCAGTACAAATTGCGATCAGGGTAAGAAGAATTGTAATTTTATGCCTGCTGTAAATATTAACAGAACGCCTTACTTAATAACTAATAGTTCCTGATTTGAAAGACAAATGTTAGCAGTTGCATAAATTTTAGCTTCCAAAGGTAGATGCAACAATTTACATTGCTATTATACGCCTACGATGTAAAGCCACCTTAATTGATTAAAATTCCTACATAAATTCTCTTTTTAGCTAAGGTATAAGCATATACTTTTATGATAAATTTTTATATTTAAACGGTATCATTAATTAATCGCTGCCGATTAGCCTATGAAAAATCCAAAGACATGAATAAAAATTGGTATAAAGCCAAGGACAATGTCAATTGTACAGCCGTAGCTCAAAGTTTATCAACGAGCCTTCAGGGTAATTAGTTTAATATTAATTTATTCAGCTTCTATGACGATAGTTGAAACATTCATGTCCATTGGGGAGGTTTCAATAAAATGACTACTGGGATGAACAGGAACAAAACGCCGTAGCTAACGAATTTGCATTTCTATTTCTACAAATTTCAATGTGAAGACTTCATAATTCAAAAATTAAAATTGTTAACAGGAATGATCAAGTTTGTATAGTTTAACCGACTATTAACAAGCTCAAACATTGAATGAATAGTTGTATAGCACTTAACTAAGTTATCTACGGTACGTCAACACCCATAACGGACTATAGTAATAATTTTTGTGTTCTACAGTAATTGATCCTCAGATTAATAAATAGTTGTATTTGACATTAGATGTGTATCTATGACTCTTCTAAATCGTTTATGCTTTTGGTATGGTGGTCTTGATTGTGATCGATATTTCAATTTACCATGTGCATAATTTTCGTACGATTTCTCTAGAAGTGTAAGAGAAGAAAATGGCATTAAATTCATTGATCTTCATTATCATCATGGTAGTTAGTTCATTTCCGAATCTACAATGTTACTCATCTGCAATCTGTTATACCTATTAGATATAGAAGTTATCGCATCTTATGGCATATAATAAAACGTATACACGTAAGCTAAAAGTAATTACGAATTTAGACTGTACCAATATTAGAACTTTGAGATATTCCAGTCGTATTTTCTCATCATTTATTGGCGATTAATTACTTATTTTAATTGCTACTCAAATACTACCATTATTTACGGGTTGCAATATTTTACAGCTCTCATATACTTATAGTCTATGAATGTGTACCAATTTCATATTTTTTCGTAAAAAGAATTGCATCAGGTCTTTTTCCCATAACCAGATGTGTTATTCACATTAACTATCGATAAGCGCATGGAAGGGAACTGGTGATATTAAAACATTGGCTAGGGTGTTTACTAATAATATATATTAATCACGGGTATAGTTATATTCATATTGTTTTGTATAATATCTTATAAAATAATAAAATGTCGAATCTATTCCGCGCTCAATATCAAACATTTTTATTTACGCTAGCTAATCTTATAAATAGGACAGACAACGTTGAAAGTACTGATTTGCTCTATGTCTATGAGTTATACTTATGTACAGTACCTATCGTAAGCACATTACTTTCATATTTATTATATAATTGCAATAGAAGGAAAATTTGGTTGGTTATAAGAGTATGGAAGATAAATGTATCAAATCTATTATCTAGTTGTCACCCCTCGTGCGGTACTTATTTACAGTAACTTTTGAGTGGTTTAGATAATATTGAAATACGGATTAAAATTTCTTTTTTTGCTTACCGTCTTGACATTCATACCAATGTTTTAAATCTATTGATGGAATAGCATCGCAGTCTGTGATATCCCCTTCGTAATAGACGTTAAGAAAAACATCATTTTGAACGCGAGTTATATTATCTCCATTATCGCACAGAATCCGTGCTAAACTGCTGCGTTTAATTTGAGTAAGTTGATTAGGAGAGAATTGAGCTTTATTTTCATACCAAAATCGATCACCAGCACGTAAACGATTAAATTGCAAAGCTATTAAACAAGCAAATGTTGGTCCAACTCGACCTCCGAATAAAGCATCCTCGGCCATAGCACCAACCCATAAATCAATATTGTTAGGATGTTGATAAGCTTTTTCTAATTTATTTAAAATGGTTCGATTTGTAATCTCATTGGATAATTCATGAAAATGGGTTGCTGCTGGTAAATTACACATAACGCGATAGTGGTTATAGCTAGGTAAACCATGATCTCGTCCGCGTTGAATATTTAATGAAGCCAAATCGAGAGCAATTTCATGAGCCATACCAAATAAATGATCGGTTAATTCTTCATTTAACATTCTATCTGATCGGCTTAATTTGCTCGGGAAGAAGATTAACCCACGTAATATTGGATCAATACTACCTTCATGAAGTAATCTTGAAGGTGCAAAAAATGCATCTCTTAAACGTAAATGACCCTGCGGAATAGGTTGATATAATTCATTAAGCCGGAATAGAGTTGGTCTTACTGTACCATGGCCAAATCGGAATGCAGCGGTGGCAAATGAATTAATTAACGTCGCGTCTGCATCCGGTTGGTAGTTCTGATATTTTCCAAGTAGCTTTAAACCTTCTTGACCTAATATTTTAGGTAGGAAATTGTGAAATGTAATATGTTGTATTTCTGCAATCACTATTTTACGTGCTTCTTGAAATATCTTTTCACCGTTCCAATTATAGTTGAGCTTTTTTAGTTTGCTAGCTATTCGATTGTGTTCCCTCATCCAGATCGTGTGCATAGCGGTTAATGCTAATTGCTCATTAACTCGAATGTCACCTGCTAAAAAACATGGAACACTTTGATCTTGGTCATCAATCTGGCAATCAACCGGGGCGCCATTATGGAAGGGTAATAATCGTTTCCTTGGGGAAATTTTAATACCCTCCTTTAGCAAACCTTCATCATGGTCTAAATCGCGCAAACGCCTAACTTCTTCTTTGGAAGAACCATAAATAGTCGATCCATCAATATAAGATGTAACTTGATTAAGCTGCTGTCGAGGTAATAGCTCATTAAAAAATATGCTAGAGAGACCAGTACCACAAGCAGCACTGGAGCGTGTAAATTCGATGCAGGCATCCTTAGGTACTCTCTTATCATTAGGTGCAGGATAGATTGGAAAACAAGGAGGGTCATTCCGACATAATTTATCACATGGTATTCTACTTTTATATGTAGATCGACTGCTACTGCCAACAATTAAGCTAATATCGTGGTCAATAAATTGGCCCCATTGCATTAACATATGACTGAATGAGCCGTCATCGACAATACTCAATGTTGAAACAATGTTTTGCGAGACAAGTCTTGCCGGTGGACGGACTAATTTTTTAGTATCCCATCCTATAGGTTCATTTAAATCATCTTCATAAGCTGGACGTAATAATCTTACTAGCTGTGTTAATGTAGTTCCTCGAGAAGGATATTGTAAATTATTACAACTTCCATCATAACTACGATATTTCATATGATAACAGAGGTTTGAACAATCAGGCTGTTTGTACATTTGCTGATTGCAACCAGTCAAGTTAGCAATCATGGCAATATGTCGTGGCGAGAGAATTTTGCTAAGGTGAGCAAAGGATGATGGAGATATATCTAATCGGCTAGCCAAAATAGATAATGAAGTTTCAAAAATTGCATGTCTTGCCACTAATTTGCTCGCATCTGGATTTGGATATCGTAGACTCATAAGTAACGCAGCAGGCGTTCGCTTAATTGTCTTGGAGAAAAGTGTCTGTTTAGTTGTAGCAATAGCTTCGTCAACATATTTAACTGCTAGTCTTACAGAATCAAGAATAACACCATCATCAATATAATCAGTTCTCGGCCCTAAATGCGCAAGAGCAACAATTAGCCATTGACAGATATGTTGTTATTTTATCCCTTAAAATAGCTACTTTCAACCACTTACTTGCTCTTGCAACTTTAACAATCAATTCAGCTGAAATTAAATCATTGCGATTACGAGCTGTACATGTATATCTGCCAGCGTCAGCAACACCAATGCTGAAAATTCTTAGACCGTTTTTTTCAATTTTAATATGGCCAGTATTAATAATTTGCTGATTGTTTTTATACCATACCATAACTGGTGATGGTTTACCGCGAGCACTACAAGGTAGAAACAAACTGTGTTCTCCTTCGCGAACTTGAATATTGCGTGGTCTCTTGACAAATTGTAGCTTACTAAATCTGCTGTTATAGTCGTCAGCCCATGGATAAAATCCACCATATTGCAAACATTGATTTCGCTTATCGTCTTCTGATAAAACCCTTATTCTACCACCATGTGAAACAAAATGTTGTTTCATAGCTGGTAGGCGTCGATAAAAATTTTCAATACCTCTGCTTGTATCTAATCGCTGGCAATGAAATGCATGACTAGGCCCCCAAAAGTCATTGTTTATATCGCTAGTAAAGGCTATTGTAAAAATTATTATTCATGTTATTGCGATAAATAATTTTTTACAGTTTTGTTAGTAAATTATGTAAAGTATCTTTAAAATTTTTCAGAGAGATACAAATTATGTTATCTTTAGTTTTTTGGTGTTAATGTTAAATTTTATATGATTATACTTACGGCAATATTCAAAATTGATTTCCTTTAATTCTGTAATGGCTTTGCCACTCAAACTGTCTGGCTTATAGCATGTTGGCCTATTCGATTGGCTTAATTTTACTCTGGCCCTACGTACTATTTGCAGCATTTGACAATCGCATACCAGTGGATTCTCGTCTAATCGACTAATTAATTTTTAGGAATATAGCATTAAATCTACGATCAATGGCATAATTAAAACTGTCTATAAATGAGGTACTGCTTATGTATACGTAATTAAAGGCATGTTAAAATTTAGTAAATGCCAAGTATAGCATTAGAGATAATAAATAGAACATTGTATTAACATACAAATACAGAAAGATGATATTTTATTTTACTAAACGATAGGTTGATTCACAAAACAAAGAATTTGCTAATAAGATTCAGAGTAAGCATGAAATATGCACGTTTCAAGTCTTTCCTTACAGTATAATTAATGACGACAAGATCGGTAATATTCCTTTAGGAATGTGATGAAAATGATTTGATTGAAGGTGTCTAAGTTTTGTGTTTAAAGTGATAGAAATAATATAAAAATACTGTATAAAAGGCCATTTTCAACTGCTAATCATTATAATCAGTAAAAAACTTACAATTCTTTTAAATTGTGCAGATATCGAAAATTGTTCGGATATATATATGTTAGTCGATTGTGGTCAATATACCTTTTTAGATATTACAGGAAATATAATGACTTGGATTAATTTCCTATTTATATTTTAGGCGACGATATACTTAGATATAAAAATTTATTTAATAAATGATATTCTTAAAACTGTAACTAATAGAAATTTATGACTTTCGATCAAAATTTTAGAATAGTTACGTCTGCACTACTGCAGTATTATATAACTGTTGTATAGGTGAGTTATGTTGTAGTAGTATCCATTCATTAACGACTCGTTTGTATTTGTTATAATAAGAAATATGTCTAATTTAGATGGATTGCTCCAAACAGTATCTTTAAAGATCAAGGTAACATCTAATCCTGTATTTGTAGATCTTTAGACGTCTGTCTAAATTTTAATTTTAAATATTATTGGCGTTAACATAGTTAATTAAACATCGAATGTAGACCTCTTACAGTTTTTTTAATGATGTTAAATCTTCGAATGCATTTTCCTCAATAGTTGAAATTTTATTGTAGCTTAATATCCTAATGATGGATTTTAAATAATTAAAAAATGAAAAAGTGAGTAATAGAGTATTTATCTACTGTATTACCGTGCATTACAATGGACAGTCTTTGATTTTAGTTGGAATTCTTTTACACCTTCTAATCAATAAAATCGTCACTTGACTTACAAGATATTTAGTTTGTGAAGATGATTCAGTACTCCTTCTGGGATAATTTCAATCTTATTAAATCGGAGATCCCTAGCACATGTATACGATTTTATATCAAGATATAAATCTGAGTTTTTAATGCTAATGCTCTAACACGTATAACATATCGAATTTTCTTATGCTATAACTGCGATAGTCTATCATATATGCTACAATTATAGATCGGCTAAAGAAATGAAGAAATTTTGCTAATATTGCGGACTAAAAGTAAGTGTAAAAATCATCGTATAAATTAAATATTGGTAGAGTAATGTACTCTTATAAAATATGTTTCTAACTATCGGCTTACTATCTTGGATAACTGATGAATCTCAACGTACGAGTGCATGACATTATATATTGGATATAATTAATCAATACTTTGATTCATTGAAAACTATCTTTACTATGTCTACATACAAAGTTAAGGTTTTCGTTGATGTTGGTGGGATACGGATTAAGTCAGCATGTTGGCAATGCATTAAAGTTTCATCAAGGCAGTTGCATGCAGCTGGGCAGGTAGGACTAATCTTGTTTATCTGACCAAATGCAGTACTGATGCATTTAAAGATGATGTACAGATTTATGATATACCGTAGGAAATTCATCTTCTTCGATGATAAGGAATGTATGATAAAAGTAATTGCAGGAAGTAAAATTCAAATACTAGATGCGGATCGGTTTTATTGAACGATGATTGGAGGTTAAGGATAAGAACTCTTCATTTAGGTGTTTGAAAAACTTCTTACTACTACAATATCAACAACACGAATTCGTCTGTAACTATAATAAAGCTGCAGTACAGTACTATCTAACAAGCCGGTTATGAAATTAATGGAACTTTTATATCATAAGCTCACTCATTGATCACACTTATTTTTAACACTATCAGTAAGCAAACAAATATTTGATTGTACTTGTAGAAGTCATCGCGAGATGTAAAAAGTTCATAGTAAACAACAAGAGTATCTTGTTATTCAGCTTCATTTTTCGCACCCTAGGAGAAAGCTTGAATAGTTTTATTTTTCTTCGTGTTGATAAATTTTGAAAATGGAAATTGATGGAAATTTAAATTTGTACCCATCACAACATATAGAGAATATTACAACAAACATTGTATATGCCAGAAGAATTTTTCCTAGCTATTACATTGTATCATATGCAACATTTGATACAGCACTAGGTATGACCATCGACCAGGAACAATGTTGCATAAAATTGTTCTAAAATATCGCTTTTAAGTATTAAGTGTCAGAAATAACATCCATTTCTGATCTAAATATGCGTTATTATGTTTGCTAGCGTATAGCAGTTGACCCAGGCAATCACAACGACAGTAGTGGAATTATTCATTTTTACAAGATGAGATTCAACCAAAAATGACCGCAACAAGTAGACTTGGCGAATATTTGAATCGACCTTACTCTTCATGAAGCATTATTTGATGGATAACTTGTAGAGTTTATGTAGATTCTTTTTCTTGTCTTTGTTTTTCAGCTCTGATGGCAGCGATTCTTCGTTTCTAAACAGTGTCAATGGGTTGTTTAGATTTAAATTTGAATCAACTTATCTTCGTAGTACACTAAGTACAGTATATTAATAACCATTTTCACACGACTACTTGGACAACAGAATATCATCAAAGCTGCAAATGGCAGAAATACATTGACAACTTTCTTACCAATTTCGTATGATGTAAACACTCGAGATAATCATCGAATTCAAGTGTACATTTTTCACCATGTAGGGCACCCACACGAGCCATACAATACATCAGATCTTGCCATAAAGGGTAGCATCGACCTTTCCCACCAGTTACTCCGTGACTAAACACCATCTTCTAAATCCATGAGAAAAACGAGTTATTATGATTAACAGAACTATACTAACTTTCCTTACTAATATTAGAAGGATACTATTACACAGTTTTATCAGTAAGAGAAAATTCGATTCATAATAACATTTACTTTTCAGTTACAGACCTCAAGCAGATGCCCATCAACGTCAACGATTCAAAATGGCGTTATTGCTTTTTCTGGCTACAGAGGACTAGCGTACTGTACAATTCGCCGTGCGCGCATGCGCAGTGCTGGGCGGTCGTTTGTAATACAGTACGGTGTGGTACAGTATGCCAACTACTAATGACAGTACTCTACTGTATAGTGTACTGTACACCCCAGTAACTGTACCTTACAGTGTACAGTGTACAGTACTTTTTTTTTCTATCCGGTCTCTGGCCTTAGTATTGTGGCCAATGGGCATACTGTACAGTGTACAATATGCAGTAGTTCGGTGGTCTGAGCCTTCTGGGCCACCGTAATACTGTACTGTATAGTACAGTACTGTAGTGTACTCAGTGTACTATAGCTGCCAAAAGGAGAAGTACAGTACAATACAGTACAGTAATGAAGAAGAAAGCTGTTGCAGTTGTTGTTTACTAGCATACTGTAGAATCCCATTTATTAATAGGACATGGAGCATATGTCGTGCTTTTAGTGTTTCAAACACGAACCATTCAGTAGCTATGGAGTATGGCTTTCATTCCAATGTGAAATCACCGATACGAGACTGATTGCTTTTAAATGCTGCATGAATGTACGAGAGACAAGCTTGCATCTCCTAAAACATGGTGCGACTACAGTACAGTGCTGAATGTAGACTGTACTGTATAGTGAGATCTACCATAGGAGTGTCTACGCAGACTCAAATATAACTTCAACCATGGCTTCCAGTCGTTACACACACATGGAGTCCATGGGTGATACACAGGGTCGAGGACAATTTGACGCCGACAATTTACCGCTGTACAATGTAGTAGTACTGTATAGAATGGAAACAATATCAATCTCGATTTGATATTACCAGGATGAATTGAATACTTTGCAGCGTTCAATCCTATACACCGTAAAATGAATCGAATGCACTAAAGTATCTGTTCTGATATGACGAGGGTGGATTGAATATTTTACAGCGTAAAATGGATTGAATGCGGTAAATTGAACGAGTCTGTGATACACATGGCTTCTTTTTAATTCATCATACTGTACTGTACAGTACTATTCTGTGCCGTACTCTACAGTACACTACTGTACACTGTACTGTACACTGTACAGTACAGTACTAGAGTCTCAGCTAATCCCTGATTCTGAGTGTTCAGTGCTATCACTGCGCAGGGCCGTTACAGTACAGTACGGTACGGTAGGGTCTGTCAGCTCACCGGCAAACTTCAACATCCTGAAAGGTCAACCGGCAGTCCGGAACGCTACTGCACATACATACGATACTGTAGATAGTACAGTATAGCGCGCGCTGCTAGTTGCAATACAAGTCTCTCACTGCGAAAACTGTCAGTTTGGTTCAAAGGTTGCTCCGTGTGTGCTGCAATGGCGACTTTCCGCAATATTTCCAACCTGTTTAACCGTTTCCATCTCAATAATGCACGTTATCGAGGTTAGTTCCACCTAAAATAAACAACAGCAATATTACAACAATAAATTGATGCTAGTAATGTAAGTAAAAAGGGAATTGTCTGCTTAAAATTGTTGATAGTACGCGAGGGGATACACGCTATAAAAACAAACAATCTTGCTCATGTTAGTCTACAGTAGGATAGGCTTTTCTTGAAAGATTAAATTGATCTCCTTGCTATGCAGTACAGTTAGTTATTCCTTTATATGTTGACTTGGCAGCATAGTATAGGTACAGATGAATCTTTCCCTTCTATTCAGTTGGATAGCATTCTTGTAGAAATGAATGTTGTCACAGTACATCCATATTGCAATGCGATATGTACAGTATGTCAGCAGCCATGTGCACTTGTACAGCCAAGGAGATGACTGATTAACCATAGATTGGGTGATGACAATAATTAATTATAATGTGATTGCATACATTAGCGTAATACTATACTCGGAGAAGGTTGCTCTACCTTTCTGGATGGCAGCATCATATTCGTAGCTAAATCAGGGGCTGTTGGCTAAATTCTGTAGAATAACACGACTTCTAGTATACCGTACTACATGCCGGTCGTTATTGTGATACTTGATTGCAAATCCGTCACTACTGCATGTTCAATGGTTCATGACTAGGTGCTTATGACATGCTGTACGTAACCTTTTAGTACTCGTTTTAGTACTACAGAAGATAGGAACGCTGATTTGGATCAAATTTTCCAGGCGATTACTAGAATTTTACAATTTATCCGCATTTTTAAAGGATTGTAGGAATATTCAAATTGTAAGACACAGCTCAGTCACGTTTGCTACTATACAGTAGAAAAACTTCGACAACGACGATGTTATTATTTTATTGGTGTCGTTACTAATCGAGAAGATTTGGAATTTGTCCATTAATGACAACGTCTCAGTTTCATTCTTGCACTATCATGGTTGCATTACTCTTACGTGATATTACAGATATATTTGCTCATTACTGACATTCACTCTGGAATGACTTTGCTGACAGTAATTTAAAAATTTATGATGATAAGTTTCCATTTCAATATACAGTAAAGTAAATTTATGCGAGCACTAGCAGACTAACGTTAAATCATTTAGACGTGTAATAAGTTATGAAAACATTGAATATCGTACTAAAAGTAGTACACATATGCGCATTGTACGTGATTTACACACAAAATGTATTCCACAAACTGCAATGTTTTCATACGGATTTAGTCGTCTGTCATAGCCAATAATTTTGAATCATTGCTCATAAATAATGCGATATCGCAATTAATTTTCAGTCCTCAAGACGACACCGCTTCGACTGATGTCTTCTGCGACTGTTCGAGGTAAGGAATGATCAAGTAATTGATAGAAAGATTAACGACTTTATGTAACAATAGCATTGCAGCTACGAATACTACACTTGTTGGTATATGTCTAAATCAGCTATTGATTGGACGTTAATACGAATCGTATTGGATAAAATAACCTAGTTCACGTTACTACCAAATACACACTATCTGAAAGCAATTTTTTATCATAATTACATTCAAGTTATCATCAGTGAAAAAGAAATTATTTTTTAATATATCAATTCATGCTTTTTATCTGTTTGCAACTCAGAGAACGCCCGGTACGAAATTAACGATGACGGTGTTGCCATACTGCGTATGGATTGTGCAAACTCGAAGGTAATGAGATAGCTATTTGATATCTTATTCGAAAACATGGATAAATGTAGTTTCTAGGGCAAATAAACAATAATTGAGTAATCCTTTCCTTTTTGTTTATTGAAGTCATACATACGGAAATGTTAACCATTTATAAATGAAATTTTATATTTTAGTACAATCTCGCTAGCCTAGGCTTGATGACGGATATTAAACAGGTAGACATGCAGTAATTACTATCTTTTCAAAATGGTAGCTGACTATATTAGCTATATGCTTCTTTAACGCCATAAAATCTAAGTTTACTAATTTTTCAGTGTTTTGAAGAATTAAAAGAAAATCCTCAAGTCAAAAGTATTGTTCTAATTTCTAGTAAAGTGGACAATTTCATCTCTGGAGCTGACATAAAGTATCTTCATAACTGCTGATAAAATAGAACAAATGTTTTATCAAGTTTTGTTAGTGACTATCAACATTAACAATATAATTTCATTTTGCTTTAATTTAGTACCTTCTTGAGTATTAATTCTGAAGAGGTAATTCATAGGGCTGTAATCGCTACTGCTTACTATATCGCTTTAAAAATTTTTAGATTCTTGATATCATAATTGTTATTTCATATACAGCTAACACAGATGTGTCGTAATGTTCAAGAAGTTTATAATGATATCGAGGTACATTTGTCATTTTCTCTCGTTAAAACTTCTTTAATGCCCAATTTACATGTAACCTAACTCTACATTAAAAAATGCGTAGAATATGCCAAAACCTGTTATTGCAGCTATTCAAGGACCCTGCTTAGGAGGAGGTTGCGAGGTTTGCTTAATTCAAATTTCGATATTAGATGTGTATCCAATAGAATCTGTTTGCTTGTTAGTTATGGTACTATCAAAATATTTATAGAACTTATATACGCGTAACTATGAAGTTCATTAGCCTTTTTTCTTTTTATTTTAGCTGTCACTAAGTTGTCATTATCGTATCGCTTCTACTCTGGACAAAACTGCGATTGGCTTGCCGGAAGTGCAGCTTGGCGTACTTCCTGCTGCTGGAGGCACACAGAGATTGCCAAGACTGGTTAGTCATCCTACAAATATCATTTCTATCGCAGCGGCGTCACTGATCTGCTTTTGAATTATTACTAGATAAATTTGCCCAATGCCCTTGATTTGCTGTTGACCGGAAAACAATTAAAGGCCAAACAAGCAAAAAAACTTGGTGTCGTTGATGCATTAGTGGAAAAAATCGGTTAGTTAATCTAAGTTATTGGCATCATTCACGAAATTTCATCGTAATCTCTATTTTTGATCACTCATACGGAGCTGGTTGATTGTAGCAGTCCATTACTTTCAATAATTTTTAATTCCATTAAAGGTGACGGTGTTGTGAATTCGGCCCAAGGTACATTAGACTTATTAGAAAAAGCTGCAGTAGAGGCTGCAAAGTAAGTAAATTAACCATGGATGATAGCATAACATTTTGCTTCTTATATACTGTATTTAATCCTGTAAAACGTTTTCATTGCAATTTATAGAAATATCGCTAATGGAACCCTAAAAATCAATAGAGAACACCCCTGGACTAGTATGAAAGGTATACTTTGGTATTTGTTGTCTACATTAATTTGCTATTGTGACCTAATATTTTAATCATTTTAATACAGGATTAACTTATAATCTCACTACTTTTAACCCATATGTAAGAAACTTTGTCTTAAATAGAGCAAGACAAACCGTAAGTAGGCAATATAGCTTAGCTGTTGCCATAGAGTCATAATTAAGTGTTATTTTACGCATATATTCATACAGGTTATGAAAAAGACCAAAGGTTTATACCCGTCACCTCTAAGAATTTTAGATGTATGTATACATTATACTAGGTTTTATAGCACTTTGATAATTGTAATAACGTATACACATCCGTTTTCATTCAATTAGGTGGTTAAGACTGGCTTAGAAAAGGGAAAGGAAGAAGGAATGCTACAAGAAGCGATAGTATGATGCTACTTTTAACCTAAATTTGCTTTCAGTTCAATTGTCTAAGCTCTAACTATAAATTTGCAGAATTTTGGAGAAATCGGGAAAGGTAGCGTTGCTGAGTCCTTAATTGGTCTATTTTTTGGACAGGTATATTGATCATACTCCATTTTTATATAAGAAAGTGTGGGCTATTAATTTTTGTACTGGATTTATCCTAGACCAAATGCAAGAGAAATCCTATTGGTGAACCAAGCCGTGAAGTCAAGTATGCTATATTGCAATACTCATTCATAGTTTCAGTTATACGTATATCTAGTGATTGATACTTCGACATTTCATTAAGAGTTTTCGCTTTTATTCCTGAATCTAATTCTTCCTTTCATATCTACTTCATTTAGAAAAGTTGCAGTTCTAGGTGCTGGCTTAATGGGCTCTGGGATTGCCCAGGTAAATGTTATGACATTTTAACCGTATCATTAAACTATTTTGTGATAGCTTGGTAAATTGACCGTTTATACAGGTTAGCGTTGCAAGAGGATATGATGTAGTTATGAAAGACAATGCTGCAGCCGCTCTAGCGTCCGGTCAGCATGCTGTATACAAGGCTATTAATGGTCGTGCGAAAAAGCGAAGAATTACAAAGTATAACATTATTTTGTTTTCTAATTGTTATTGTACGATATGAATTCATTAATTATTAATAATAATCTCTAAGAAAAAATGTGATGTTTTTGTTAACAGCTTTGAAAAAAATCTTATACTATCACGTCTTACTGGACAATTAGACTATTCGGTAACTGCAGTATTGAATAAAGGCTAGCTCTAGCATTAATTATCGTATACTTAGACAATTTCGTAACCTAATTGCAGAAATTTAATGACGCTGATATCGTGATTGAAGCAGTTCTGGAAGATTTGGATGTCAAACACCAAGTTATCAGAGAAGTAGAGGAAGTAAGTATCGCGATAAATGCCAATGAGCACAGCTGAATGTTCTCTATGGAGATCTAGAAAGTATCTATGTACCGTTGAAGGTTCCATCGACTTTATTTGTAGGTTGTTCCAGAGCATTGCGTTATAGCATCGAATACCTCCTCGATACCTATAGCTGACGTACGATTGCATTTAATAATTTTCTGACAATTTATGAGCTAATTGTAATAATATTATTAGTCATAATTAATATTATATAGACGGTAACTAATTTGAAATTATAACAGATTGCGAAAGGCAGTAAACGCCCCTCTCAAGTCGTTGGAATGCACTATTTCTCTCCGGTGGACAAGATGCCATTACTAGAAATTATTGAAACACCACAAACGTCTAAGGAAGCTTTGGGTAAAAAAATTTAACGCTGGTTTATAAATATTTATAGGGTCTTAATGCATTCTCGATTATTTCATGCAGCTGCTGCAGTATCGGTGGGATTGAAACAGGGTAAAGTGGTAATTGTTGTGAAGGACGGATTGGGCTTTTATACAACCAGATGTCTGATGGCCTTGATGGCAGAATCGTTAATAATATTATTGGTACAGCTTATATACTTTACAGTGTACTATTTTGAGTAATTATAGTAGGGCGTTCTGATATCTTGTTTGAAATATGTAGGAAGGCGTAGATCCAAAGGGATTCGATAGTGCTGTTCAAAAATTCGGTTTTCCAGTTGGGTTCGCGACTTTGCTAGACGAAGTAATCATGAATTTAAAATGGAGACATTACTGTAAATACTTTCTCATACATGAAATCACTTTTTATGACTGTATGCTTATTACTTGGATATAGGTTGGCATTGACGTTGCAGCACATATTTCTGATGTCGTTGGAAGTAAATTCGGAGCTAGGTACAATTGAAACTATAAAATGCACTATGTATCAAGATTCTAATTGAAATGACTTGCTGAACCCTTTAGAATTGATGCAAGAGATATGACCGTATTGAAAGAGCTAGTTTCCAATGGTATTAAAGGTATGTTAAAATTGTCGTAGACTTGCTACATACGTTGAAGTTAAAAAATGCTTATCACGTGTATTTTCTTAGGAAGGAAGAGTGGTCAAGGCATATATATGTATGGATCTGGAAAGAGTAAGAAGAAAGAGGTACATAATCTATTCGAATTTGTGATTAGTAAATCTATATAAGTGAAAATGATTTTATGATTAATTTAATTGCTTATATTTCGTTAAGATAAACAAAGAAGCTATGGAAATTATAAAAAGATATACCGTTTCAGCTAAAGGAAGGTAAAATTTACGATCATTTTTGCCCCTGAACTTCGACATGGTTGGCAATAGTTCAAACTGATGTTAAAAATATTTTATTCTTACAATTTAGTCATGATAATGAAGAAATAATATCTCGCGTTTTTACGAAACTTGTAAACGAGGCAGCCTTTTCTTTACAGGAAGGGATAATTCGCGATCCTGTAAGACATAGGACCAATAATATTGATCAGCAGTTCCGTTATTAAGATTTTATTATATGTGGCTATTTGTAAATATGATTTAAACGTTTTATAATAGGTTGATGGAGATATTGGATTTGTCTTTGGTATCGGATTTCCTCCGCACTTAGGAGGTAAGAAAAAATAGATGATTTCACTAAAATAGAACAAAATCAAACTAACATATGACCATCTCCTGGTACGTAAATTTTTGTAGGACCTTTCCGTTATTTGGATGCAATTGGTGTCGATAAGTTTGTTAATCAAATGGAAAAATTACGAGAGATACATGGAGAACGCTTCGAGATTGCTCCAATGTTGTATGATTATGCTAAGGACCCTAGTAAAAAATTTCATAGTAAACAATAATAGTAGTTTATGTTTGTATGAGTAAGAATACTTAAAATAATCTTAATGGTGTCATATAAGTACGTTTAAGAATGAGATTGGATTTTTCCAAGACTTATTGCTTTAAATTTTTGTTTACCGATAATTGATAATTGCACACTGGTGGCATAAGCGGCAGTTTACAAAGGTAGTTAAACAGAAAACGTTATCAGAAGCTGTACTGTATACTGAAGGAATTCTTATGAGGTTTTAGAAAATATATTATTTTATTGGTAATATTATGCAGTACTGAAATGTGTAAGAAAATAACAATTGAAATAAAAACAATTAAATTATGCATATTCATTTGTCTGCCTTTTATGATGGAAGGATGTTTTTATTAATAATTGCTTCCTTTTTGAAGCTGAGTTGGTTCACTTTCAGAAATAATAGCGTATATTTCAAAGGAATAATTGTTTTTAAATCTACGACGTTACCATTAAATAAATGCAATTGATATGATCTGTTACGATAATATATAAGTAACATAAGGTTAAATTTGCATTATGATGAATACAGACCATTATACTGTATATTTAGGAAGAAACAGATGTAGCTCATTTAAATAGCAACAGGTATGCCATATTGCCATTAATTACTTTACCGATTTGGCTGTAGGTTATTTGCATAATGTTACTACTTACCTTATATATAAATCTCGCTGTTAAATTCTTGATGTGAGTTTGGAGATACCGATTGGCGAACGGGATATTGGCCTTCCAGTTCCTAGTACGAGTAGAATTTAATTTTGAAAGATCAATTATCTCTAGATCCTTCTCTGTACTTTTTATCTATTTAATTTTTAATATCACTTTTATCTGATACTTACCACTAGAAATGGCAATACCATCAATAGTAAGTCAAAGCTGTTTTGTAAATATTTCTATTTGAAGTCAAAATGTAGCGTCTTTATGATACGGTCGTATTAAAGCTATTAGATGGTGTACTATCCTTTTTCATGACTAAAAATGTTGTTGTTATCCGTTATACTTGTAGTTCACATTTGACCAGGTACCAGGACAACAGCTACACGCAGCTATAATTCGAAACGATATTGATAACGTTAGACAGCTTCTCAATGAGCCAGATTCCGTTCCAATTGATTGCTCTGACGAAGTAAGTCCACATACATATGTATATAGGCTACTTTACGACAGGATTATACACGTACATAGGCATCCCCAGAGGGAACTTAAATCTGTAATCCTAATTACCAGAGGACGATTTTTTTGTCATCAGTTTTGATTTATTGCGTAGTGCTAATTTGGACATGAAATAGTCATTTCATGGCACAAAATGGCCTTACTAGTATTAGGCATTTTTAAACGCATACAGCACATCAATATCACATGTCATGCAAATATTTCTTACAATCTGGTGGCATTTTTCTAGGATGGTACCACACCTCTCATTCTAGCTGCTGCCAATGGCTACATTGATATAGTACAATTATTGTTAGATAAAGATGCAAACGTTAATGAGAGGAGGAAGGTAAAATCTTGCTTAGAAGAGATACTAAGATATTACTATGAGCAGAATACAGCCGTAATTGTTAACAGATCTTGATTTCGTAGAAGACTTAATTACTATTTACTAGAATTACTGCAGATTCTTGATTTATAACCGTATCTTCATTATTAATACTATCGCTTTAAACTATAGACCGGGACTACAGCACTCTTTTTTGCAGCACAAGGCGGCCATTTAGAAGTTGTAAATGCCTTACTGGAGAAAGACGCCGAAGTTGATCTTGGAAATTATGTTAGTAGGCTATATAAACTGATGTAGAACTCTGCACGGATTTTAAAGTATTCATAAACATGAAATCTTATCACACATGGTGTCACCTATTTGTCAATTTATGCGTAATAAAACAGATGCGAATGGTAAAATAGCTTATGAAATTGACGATAGGAGCTTCTGGTATATAATTAACTTAGGAAAGTAGCATACTACGTATTGCTAACATAGATTACTACTCTTACTATACATGATCTGTGTATATTATCAATTTTTACACTTTAGAGCCGATACTTTACCCTAAATCTATAGGATAGAATATAAATTATACGATGGCTCATAGCATATATTACAGATTCTACCACTCAGTTTTAAATTATATACAAATTAATAAATATTATTCAACTAATAGCAGATCAATCATAATGCGTACAATTAATACGTAGGATGCGTATAGTCAAGCATCGGATTAAGATATTTGTATAATAGTATGCCATAAAACAGAATGAAGCGGTCCAAATTTCTCTATTCTACTGTAGCTCATTCCAATCATTTTTATTGACATACATTTTTACCGTACTAAGGATGGAGGAACTCCGCTACTCATCGCTTCTCAATGTAATCAACCGAAAATTGTCCAGAAATTACTGGAAAATCGCGCTAATGTCAACATAGCAATGAAGGTAATGTATATACTACAATACATCATGATTTGTACTATCAGCTACATATTCCCTTGATGTTTTATCCTATTATTATTGCAATTCATAAAATAAAAATAAAATATTAGTCAGTAACTGTAATACTACCGTACAGGATGGTGCAACTCCAATATTTGTTGCCGCCCAAAACGGCAACGTAGAGGTAGTCAAAATACTCATTGAAAACCAGGCCAATGTGAATAGTCCAAGGAAGGTAAAAGCATAACGCTGCATATTTTAAATTTAGAAATGTGGTTCTGTACCGATATTGACATATGCACTTCTAAATTAACCCTGATAGCTAATTTCTAAATTATTTCTATGATTTGTACGGTACTGGTTGAACATGAAGCAGCTCGTAATATATATTACGCCGTAAATACTGATACTAGAATAACTATCACATCTTAATTAAATTTGCTTTCCTTTCACTTCATTTCTCTAACTTGAGATATATTAAATTCTGATTTATGCATGGACATGTCCTTGTTTTGCAATATGTAACAGAAATATTTTAGGATATATTATAATTAGCATGAACTATTTAATCACTAATAGCAGTCAATAGCCACCGTATATCGATACGGATTACTTACTACCGTAAGAAAATTTGTAGAACATTTTGATTTAAAAATTGAACGTTGACCTCCTCTCTCATACTTTAGGATATGGCAACTCCACTATGGATTGCTTGCCAGACAGGTAATTTTGAAATTGTTTCTGAATTACTCAAGGCAGGAGCAGATGTGGACTCACATAGAGAGGTATACATGTATAATTCCCTTTGAAACGAGAAACTTTACCGTATTTATTTATTACTAGTACAATTGTGAGCTATAGAAAGGCAATCAATTTATCAATCATGGTCTTAGGTTTAATACTACGATTTCCATATAAATCTGATTAAAATTTTTGACGTTGTGCTGTTCCTTTAGGATGGCGGAACTCCATTATTTAAAGCTTGTCATAAAGGCCATACTGCAGTAGTTCAGGCTTTGCTACAGCATAAACCTTCAATCAATACTCTAAAAGTAAGACAATTGCAATGTTACAATTGCAATCGGAAATTATTTCTAGTTATATAAATATATGTTTATCTCCATTGGCAAGAATTATGATGAAGCTCATTTCTGTCCTTATTTTATCCAGTTTAAAGCTGCCTTTTCTAAATTGTGATATTAATTCATTCATACAGAATGGAGAAACACCGTTACATGCAGCGGCACTCTTTGGCCATTTAGAGATTGCAAAGGCTCTGGCTACCGCTGGTGCCGACCCTACCATTGTTAATGGGGTATAATGAATATGAGAAAAGTGTTTAGCAATCTCTTTCAAACAAGCGATTATATTTCTTGGGTATATCTACTTACCAGCATTATTTAACATTTATTTTCGAAACAGGATGGTCGAACACCTATTGATCTGGCTAAAGAAGCTAAACATGACAAAATTTTTACGTATTTGTCAAGCGTTCGCCAATCCATGCAAACCGTCGTATAATGTTTTGAGAGATGGCATCGAATAGATTGACAAATTCTTCTATAATAATGTATTAAGTCAACTGATTTTTTACTGGACGTTAGTATTAACGAAGCTATTAAGGATTTTATATCTCATAATGTAAGTATACGCGTACAGCGATAAAACGTTTATAAAACAAGTAACATGACTAAAAGAGGCATACAAGTGCAGCTAATAACGCAATAAATTCTCAAAATTACCCAAGGCCTATGGATAATACTCTTATATCCTGATTCTCCTATTCATCTCATAAACTATTATATGTATATGCAAATCGGTATTACATACCATTTGCATAATGTGATATTTAAAGCTATAGTAGTATGATTTGCTTCTTTAGACGAAATTATCATCTTAATAGAAATTTACTGTTGATGATGATTGCAATAATTATCTTAATGACGGTAATGTTATATTTAAATCAACAACTGCTGATAAACTAGATGACGTACTGCATAAGTTTTACCTTTCCTGCTGATGACTGGAAAATAAATTAAAAGTTAAACTATAATAATATGATTGTTTCAATCAAGTTACTTGGAGATTGAAAAATTTATAGGAAGAAATGCGGAAGTATGAGTCTACATGAATAGTAAATAACACTAGGTCTTGCTAGGACTGAGTCAAGTAATATTATTTTTTTTAGATTTTTATTTCCAGCTCTAGCTCTACTTCATCAAGTAAGACAGCCCAAGCTGCTATAGAATATGAGTTCTGAGATTGTACTCGAAGTAAAATCACGAGTAACTTGCAATTCCGCAAATAGAGTCGTGACGATATTTCTATTCATCCTGTCGATAAGGGTTCATTCTTTCATCAATGAAATCTGTATTTCGTATCAACAGTTTAATACCGTACCACAGTAAAGAGATTATATTATTCACATTACGGGACTGCTATAAAAATCACTTATACGAGTATGTACCATACCTGTAGATGATATATAAACATTAAATCCGATAAGACGTATTATAGAACTTCCTGAAGTTAACACCTTTATTACTTAATTAGACAAGTACGCATATAAACTGTACTTAATGATCTTATCGAGAATAAATTCTGAAATTGTGCTTAAATATTTAAATGAAGCATTCGCAAATTATAACAAATAATAGAAATTTGCTTTCATTAGTATGATGTCTAAATTCATAATTTATCGATATTAACTGATACTTCGCTCTTCATTACAATTATCATAATTTACCCAAATTAGGAGGCCTAGTTTAATCTAAACGAGTAGTCGTTATTTCGGTATAGGTTGACTTTAGAAAAAATAAATATGAATCATGTACGAGTATATTGTCTATCTGTATCATAGGTCATGAGAGAATAGATTAATAACATTGTGCCACATTTATTTTAATTAAAAATTAGACTTCGGCTCTTAAATTTAAGCTATAGAACTATACAATTTATAGTATAAATAAATATTGTTACGAATGTAAATTCAATAAATATGTAGTGGCCTTAGCTGCAAGAACGACAATAATAGTTCCACTGCAAGAAAATATAAGTGAGGATTTGTTGAATAACGGTAAATTAGTATAATATTTACAATGAATAAATTCAGTACAATGCCGATAACACCGTACTGTGAGATCGTAAATAAAATTTTCGAATTGTAAGATACCGATAAGTTTTACCGTGCCCATAAATTGCCTGCCAATAATGTAATAAGACAAGCAGATAACCCTAGTCATCTGTCGCAAGTGACGACTCGGTTACAGTGTCGTGGTCTTTTTGATGAGAATAAAACAGTAACGGAGATAATCCAAGTAAACATCCAATTAGAACTCCGACAGTTCTTCCCTACACGAATTTATGTTTGCAGTAGTATTATTATTTTTTAATTTATCAGAAGCGAATTTGCTAGTTACAGAATGCGTATAATAAGGCTATAGTAAATCAATTTTAATGAAGTCGAGCAAATCTCAGTATTATGATAATTATTATTTGATTTTATTGCTAACATTTCTATATCTAGAATATTTTACATTGTAAACTATATCTACGGCGATCTTTTCTACAATTATTTCACCCTGATTTAAGTTCAATGCCATCAATACTTACTAAGTTAGTAAATAATACAGTCTGCCATAATTTTTTCTCTTCAGCAGACAGCTGAGCCATGGTTAATTGCATTTTCGATGTTAAACCTTCTATATATCCTACAAAACTAATATCATATAGTGTTTGTGTTAATTTGTTTGAAAATTAGTATTTAAGGATAATTTCATTCCTTTTCTATAAAATTCAATAGTATCACTATGGCTAATTAAATTAGCCTTATTATTATATGCACAACGAAATCTAGTTTCTGCTAGTTGATAACAGTGATCTATTGGGCTGAAACATTCTAATGACAGATCTACAACTGCATTGGGTTTGATCCAGGATATGTGTCTAGTATGGTAATGAAAAATAAGCTGTGATATCAATTGAAATAGCCTACTGTGAGCACTACTCACCAAAGTCCTGCAACGTCTGATACCATATTGCCTAGACCAGCAGCTGTGTATTAAAATAAGAATTAATCAGTACTAAAGATTGCATGCCAATGAGAAATCTTAAATTTAACGGTAAAATAATAAGAAAATGATAAATACCTGCCATAGTCGATATCGTTAAAACAGCACCTACTTTAAATTCAATGTATTCTCCCTAATGCCAAAATGAGGATTGGGAATAAAAATATAATGAACGACGATAACGAAATATTTGAAATATGTTACAGAATATCCTTGCAATTGTGATGATATTTTAAATTAATAGTAGTCTAATGCAGAATGAAAAGTTTAACTTACAGCAGTGATCATAATTACGTTGTCAAGAAAACCGAAGGCTATAAAGGGTATCCCACTATTGGCGGCAACTTGTTATTAGTAGAAAGGTATCAATCAGTCAATATCAATCTTGATCAAGCAAAATATTATATACAAGCACACACACTCAATAATTGGATAATCCAAGCTGTAGAGTACTGCATTATTTCATAGACAAGAAACGCAAATCTATTCTTGTAACTAAAATTTTATTTAAACTGAAGAACTGGAAACTATTTTGAAGTAGATAATTGTTTTCAGGGGCGGTTCTCTATATATTTCAGTATTGTCTAAGTGTGTAGATTCTTCTATTTTATGTCAGTTTTTATGTCAGTTACGAAATTTAGTAGATCACGGTATTGAATATATATAGGATAACTAAAATTAGATACATTCTAGAAAAGGTTCATCAAATCATTTGATCCCTTCTTGACGAAAAGAAAATTTAATTATTCTATGTAATCATGGATTACTTTATACATAATTCTTCATGAAACAACGTAGTCTGAATTTTTCATACTAATCTATCAATAGCTTACATATAGTGTTATACCATTAGCAAGTTTACATGTTTGAAAATAGAGAATTCTAATCGACGTCATGAAGAGTTTACTTCCAAGCTCAATGTAAATTATTGTAGAAGGAGAGGCTCATTCATATGCTATCATTTTAACGATTACTAGCAAAAATGCGAGTAAATCATGACAAAAAATTATTATTTACACCTAATTGTATCGTATCGCCAGATGCCTATCTGTTCAAAATTCTACCGTTAAAAACCTTCTTATTTAAATGGGTTGAATGCAATATTATTCAGTTGTAGAATTTTATATTTTTAATCATTAATATTAGGATGACTAAAAAGTCGATATCCATAAATTAGGCATATTAAAACGTTGTTAAAAGATTATTATTTACTCCTAATTGTATCCTGTCACCATATGCATATCTGTTTAAAGTTCTATTATTAAAAACCTTCTTGTTTAAATGAGTTGAATTCAATATTAGTCAGTTTGTAGAATTTTATGCTTTCGTTCATTAATATTACGATGACTAAAACGTAGATGTCCATTAATTAGACATATAAAAATGTTGTTAAAGGGAAGTCACTAATTATATTTTCGTATTGTATACTATATTGCGTACTTTATTATTGCAGGGTCAATTAGAATGGAAGGCCTTAACAGCTATAAATTGGAAAAAAATCACAATACTAATGATAGGATATTTTATAATACACATACAGTGTCTAGGAAAGACCTTGTGACGTTTTTTTAATTATATTGGTCTATTTCGAATGCGGATCTTACTTCTACATCATTAATAAGTATAGTCTGACCTTAGTAACTCCGATTGAAAAAGTAACAGAAAGAATTTTAGCATAATAATTTTTAATGATATTGTTATTATTTCAATCAATAAATTATAATTAAGGGATCTATTACCCTGGCAGTTTTCAATGCTCTGAATAGCGAAGTAATAGAAAGGAAATTATGAAATGACGAAGCTTTTAATTACCGTGTTAGGATTTGAATCAATAAATTACATTAATGGGCCAATTAGTATAGCAGACTTTAAATAACTTTGATTGCAGAGGTAATAATAGATTACATATGAAACAATACTCTAGTTTCCTCTCACGATCTGTCCTGTATAGATTAATTTATAATTACACTGTGGCGTATTAATGATAATTTTTTGAATTGTTGCTAAAAGGTCAACTAAATTTGCTGATAACTCCAATTAGGCAAAGTAATGGCAGATGCAATATGAAGCGAAATTTTAGCTAAGTATTGTATACTTCCGCAATCTCTATAGAAGTTATTCCGCAAGCTTCAACTGAAATAGCAAATATTATTACGTTAATGACTCTGATTAGTCAAAGTGATGTCATATGGAATGTCTATTAGACCGGTGTAGTCCTTCTAACGTTGATTTCTTGTGATTAGAGCATGAAATTTTGAATGCCTTATAAAAATTACTGCTCAAGAATCAACTGAAATAGGAGATATTAACTTAATGACTTTGATTAGTCGACGAAATGACAGACTACCGGTAGGTATTAGATATTAATACTAGAACAATGAGTGGAATGGCTAATTTAAAAAATAGTAGATTAGGTACGAAAGTAGACTATTATGATTTCTACCATTCCTAGAGAGAAGATCTTGTAATAATAATTTCGAATGGCCATATTATCAAATTAAAACAATCACGTTATGAAACATCGTTAATTATAGAATAATACAACGCTAGTGAATTATATATACAATATGCGTAACATATATTATCACAGTGTAATTTTTTATTAATCTAATAAGAAAGCTTTTTATGACAAGATTAATTTTAAATAAATAAAACTAACCTAGTAGCAACTTTCTCAGGCTTGGCACCGTAGGTTTGATATAATGTTGTCGAGCAATAGCTCTTTCCTCTATAAACAAGTAATCATGACGTAAAATCGTTCATTATCGATCAATAGCGGAAAAATAGACGTAGAAGTATATTTAAATTTGAATAATTATTATTCAAATAGAAAATACTTTTTTTCTATACTAAGCAATGGTAACAAAGGATTAGCCTAGTCCGCTTTAATGAATGAAAAAGCATCATGTCGTCAAGAAAATTATTATTCATTTATACTCACGTTGAGTTAGTTGAATGGCTAAATCTTTTAAGCTTCCTATAATTAATCAGCGTATCCAAATTAATTTATAGTTAGTATGAGATAGATGGATAGAGGTTTAGAATTGACATTTAGATTATAACATGTATGATAGAACCTAGTCAACTAAAACGAACTGGCGTTTTCCTATTACAGTAAAGATAAAACTTGATTTTGCAAATGCCACTATTGGCAACTTTAGAACAATCCATTTTGATACATACTGTAGTAATATAACAAGAAATGGTTACAATATGAAAGAAAAGGGTCATTAAAGAAAATTGATCCATGTATCATAGGAAATGATTGGATCGATTGATTGATTGATGCCTCTATTTAATAATGACACTACCTATGTATTAGGATTAAGATTATAGTTTTTCTCTTCTTGATCAAAATGGAGACAGCTTGAAAGTATTACTGCAGTAAACTCATTCCGTAAACGATCGTATGAGCAAGTTTCTGGCATTGCAAGCAATCTTGGCATGACAATATCCTACTACCACTACTCGTTTATATTAAAGATAGTCATGCGAAGGGCTATGCGAATGAAAATAGACAATTCGTTCAAAGGATGTTCTAAAGTATTGACATCAATAAAACAACGACAACATCGGAAATCTTCAAATGTGGAAACGATGTTGTAATCATTCATATACAGTCATTCATTTTAATGTTACCAATACATGCAACGAACACTCGAGTAGTCTGCTTAGTGTTTCTTCATCGATTGAATCTATGAGTAGGGTGCTATTGTACAGTACTTTATCAATGTGGCCATTAGGATCGTACTATGTTTTCGGCAAGAAAGTAAAGTAAAGTAGAACATAGGAAATAGTGACCATGCAGATCATCACCGTAAATCACAACACTAATAAGATTGTACATTGTCTTTAAAAAGTAAACGATAGCATAGGAAGCATAGGATATCCACTTGATGTTACTGCAACAAAAGAATTTTTTCATTCAGAATGAATCAATGAATTGTTAGCCATAATAGACGTCGACGATTATCGTAAGAAAATATCAACGATAAAGTAAGAAATAACATGGGGATAATTGATCATCCATGATAGCTATGTTGACGATCATCGTACAATTATGGATGAATTTATATCCTACTTGACATGGTACAATCAGTAGATTATCATACACAGTCCAAGTACGTGTACTAAATACTTTACTACGGCAAGAAAAAAAATGAAAAATCAAAAATTGAAACGCCTATTTCATCATTATCAATCAGACCTGGCTTCCTACCCACAACCGGCAAAAGTGATCGCAGTAGAATTTCCCTTTCTCTACTATGTAATTGCATGATAAAAGCTGTCGCTTCATTTTCTGTCAGAAAATTATCATCACCACGAAATTGACGATAACGATTAACCACAAATCCAGATGAATATGGACGATGAAATGGCTGATTCTGATCTACTTTAACTTTAGAATCACGATGATGATAATAAATACGTCGCAATGGATCCTTCTGTAATGATTGACATGGAAGTAGAGCCGTCTTCCATATTGGATTGAGTATTCGATGCTTGCCAAAAACTTTATTCATCGTTGTCCAACTATTGATTGATTCTTTCCTGATAGGGCAGACACCTACCACTCGGCGATTCTGAATTGCAATCGATGATGATGCAGCAGTGATTAATTAATTCAGAACGAGGGTGATGGCAATATTCTACGCTATAGTTTCTGAATTGTAATCGATGATGATACAGCGGTGATTAACTAATTAAGAGCGAGAGTGATGCAATATTCTACGCTATAGTTTCTGAATTGTAATCGATGATGATACAGCAGTGATTAACTAATTAAGAGCGAGAGTGATGGCTATATTCTACGCTATAGCTTCTGAATGGTAATCGATGATGATGCAGCAGTGATTAACTAATTAAAAGCGAGAGTGATGGCTATATTCTACGCTATAGTTTCTGAATTGCAATCGATGATGATGAACTAATTAAAAGCGAGAGTGATGGCTATATTCTACGCTATAGTTTCTGAATTGCAATCGATGATGATGAACTAATTAAAAGCGAGAGTGATGGCAATATTCTACGCTGTAGTTTCTGAGCGTAGTAGTTGCCGGTTGCGTTGCCTCGATGCAATGTTTACTTAAGCGAAGGGAGTGTGATGTGTGCAAACAAGGTCTAGGCTAGTCGAGAGACCTACTGGAAACTGTATGCTATAACTAGGCTACAGTATCAAAGAATTGGGCAGTAGGATGATTTCTATTAAAAACATTGAGACGGTAGTTTATCCCACGTCCGCACCTCGGTATGTGTGCACTGTAGACAAGATACTGTAGACTTTTTACTACCAACGATCGCAATTTTACTCTATGTATACTACTATACTGCACTCTACCATGATACAGTGAACTACCAAACTTGAACAATCACTGTAACGGCCATGCCTAAAAATAAACATCCAATGATTGGCTGTTAAAAATAACTTCGAAGCAACACCAATCAAACTCCGTTGCTATGATACCAGTGCAAAACCTTCTGCATTGATAGAGGTTGCATAGTAGCCCGTTAACTTGCTCTCTAGCATCGATAAAAAGAACAAATATTACTAAATCGAATAGACAACAACAACCAATCTATTCTAATATAAATCAACATTGGAAAACGCAATGTTGATTTGTAATGATTCAATCATTCGATGATACATTGAGCAAAGAATAAATTAAGGCTAAAAAATAGATAACTTAAATGGCCAACTGTTCCAACTACGAACGCGATTCATTTCAATGTCATATCGCATAGAATTTTATAATGAAGCATTTAATAAACCATAACAATTTTTTATTCTAATAAAGGACATCCTGCAATGAAAATTCGATCATACATAGTATAGGGTCCTTGAAAGGAAATAATCCAATAGTCATCCTAACAAAGAAATTATTCAAAGCAGTATTGTAGGCAACCAATTACAGGCGTTAAAAAAATGACACAACAATCAGCAAGTAATCTTATACACAATCATTTGCTTATTACTTGCGTCAAACTGCACGTACAAATTGATATAATGTCATACATGAAGGTTATTTTTATACGTACTTTACCATCGCTAAATTAGCGCATAGATATTATACTCAAGTAATAGCAAATAGCAACAGTTGGAAGTTCAGTCCATGGCTATGATACCTTAATTTTTGTACAATTTCTCTTATTATTACTTAAAATCCATGAATTACATACGACGGCCTGATTTTTTTACATGGCTGGAATTAAGGTAGGCAACAGTGAAGTTAATTAAATTAGATCTATTAGGCAAGAATAAAATCAGTTTATGTATGCTTTTATACCACTTCAGAACTGGACGAAAAATACTGCTACAGACACATAATCAAACTAAGCTATTATTCATAATTTTCTTCATATTCTTGATTTTAGCTTCTTAGCCAAAGCATTAGGCGTAAGTATGCCAATCACGTAAGATACTATTGATGATAACAATATTATACTGTATTAAGGCAGATCTCAATATAGATTTCTAATACTGTATAAAGTAAAGAGAAATCCAAGTCGATAAATGATTTGCTATAGTAGAGGATATGGATAATGCTTTAAGCAAGCATTAAAAATACGTAAATCCTGTAGTCTACGTACTACTTAGAACAACATTATCCTTTTTGCTCTATACAATGCATGAAATGAAAACTATGCCTAACCGGGTTTAACTAAATTAAATTTAACTGTACAACATATTAGGCTTAAAATTTCTTACTATTATCATATATAAGATAGATAATAACTGTAATTCACGGAATTTAGCGAACTCAAATTTTTGTAGTGACAAGACGCATTTGTGAAACTTGAAACATTTTTAGTATAAAGATTTCATTTTATCTTGGCCGTTAGTTTCCCGAGAAAATATTTTGGAGAAATACACCGTCAAATCGTCGCACCGATGCAGGCTTAGATTCTAAAGTTAGTCAAGTGCTACCATCACCACAAACATAGATTAAATTAATATTAGCTAAAAAGGAGTAACATTCAAATTGCTCTAATAACTGTTCGGCCAGAAATGAAAAGTTGTTTCTCAAACTAATGCCCGCTATGGGTGATTAGATTATAAATAGTCCGATGATTTTACTCAAATTTATATAATTTATGAGTACAAAATCTTCTCCTATAAGTGTACAACAAGTGACTAAATTTTCTTTTCGATAGTATTTCATGTGGTTGTTAAATAGCAATAAGGCGTGCGATGCAGATTTACACCGGACTGTCAACATGTATAGCGCTGAATATAATCGTAAAAATATTCTAAGAGCCATCGAAGCACTGCGAAATAGGCAGCTAAGGTTAACTTAGTCGATAGTATTTCATCATTTTAAAACAGTATTATATTTAATACATTATCGAGATAGATATCAGCCTGTAATAGTTTTCTTGATATTTTACTAAATCTGCAAGTGGTTATATTTTTCAATCTCTTTACTGAATTGCCGGTACCATATTATTGGAAGTGTTAGATTTTAAAGCTTCTAGCACTAGGGACTGAAATATCCTTCTAAAATTTAATCTATTTCAATTTTATTATAGTTTCGATCAAATTTATATATCAAGGCTAGCATATCAATTATACGAAGAAGATGATTTAACAGGACTAAAGTTAAATGAAGATATTATCATGAAAACTATTAAGGTATTACAACGCCGCCTCAACTTGATGGATTATTTTCCTTTGTATAAACGGTGTTACATTACATATTTTTATTATTCTATTTGATCATAGTCTCGAAGAAATTCATAGACATAAATCAATTAATTTTCTAAATATAATATGTTCAAAATATTTGTTTAACTGATTACTAACCACTGACTGAATTAAACATTTTAAAGATTGAAATTGTGATCGTTTCTAAAACACAATTAACAATTTTTTTTCTAACAATTTAGCATTAATTTATTATCAGATTAATTTTTAATCGTTATTTTAATGATCCTGTAATATCTTTGCAGTTGATTTTTTTTTCTTAACCAAATTATAGTTATGTGGTAGGGTTATTGCACCATTAAGATTATATCATGAGGTAAGAGTTTAAGGCATTTTCTGATCTACAAGATAGTAACATATATCCTTTTCTTTTATATATCTGCACCTATAATTGTTAAGGCAACTAAATATTTTACGATCGATATTTAATCCTTCTATATTTTAGATAAGAAATTTAAAAAAGAACAGACATCGAGAAGATAGGGCAGTTTATTACGAATTTATTGATATCTTACTAAGGTAAGGGTGCTTTCCGCAATTTTTTAAAAACTATGTCAGTTCTGATGTCTTCGTTAATACCAGTTGGCCATGAGTATCGCATTTGATCTAGAATTGAACGCCAATTTGATAGCATAGAATTCGTAAAAGATTCATATTTAATCTCTAATCTTATCAGTGGGAGACTAAGCAAAAAGGATTATGTTAGTAAGATATTTACTGAAACGCATTCAGTAAGCCAAGTACCCGCTCTAAGAGCATAAAGTACCATATGTCATAAGTAAGGTTAATGTCTAATTTCTAAGCGTTAATCAAAATTTAGTCAAAAATATTTTCATAGTAAGATAGCTATTGCAAGATATTTAGTAAATAATATCCAATATCCACTTTAATGCAGCATTGCATACTAGAGGAAAAGTTTAAATTGATTTCTAACTAAAGTCAATACCCTTACATTATTTTATGGAAATACTTGCAGTAAAGTCCAAAGTGCACCAAAAATTTATCTTGATTTCTAACTATAGTCAGATACCAGTACTTGGTGAACCATTTTATTGAGACATTTATAGTAAAGTATAGAGTAACCTTCTTAATTACTAATTGTAGTCGGATACCCGTAACTTGGTGAATTATTAAGATGCTTTTATAGTTGATTATTCAATAAGTAGAGATTAACGCATTTTTTCTTATTTTAATCGGTACTTGATGTACTGTGATTTTAGTAAGATATGTACTGGTAAAACATTTGTTTCGCCTCTTTTAAGTCTTTCTATCTATTTTTTTATAATCAAATTTAACTGTAATTACCACCTTAGGAAAATTTTGAATTTTACACCCCACATAACCATGTAACTGTATTAAATGTGCCGTAGCATGGCTTGTTTATCACAAAACTAAAATACAAATCAAGGGTTTTTACTGTAGAAGTTTTTTTTACTCCTATACAGTTCTAGTATGATGTTTCTGTTAAACCTATCGTTAATGCCTACCCAATTTCTATGGTACATCTACCTACTACCAGTATAATCGACATACTCATAACCTAATTGCTGAAAGAACATCGGTGCTAAAATAACGGGCCTTTTGTTTTCATTTGTATAATTTTTGATTTTAATTATTATATAGTTGAATAGAGAATTGATTTGAATTCATGATATTATAACAATGGGCTACATAGTAGTTGTGCTGCAGAATTGATTTACATTAATAGTTGATTTACTTTTATATATGAAACGATGATTTGTCTGCTTATGCATGGGCATACGCACATAATATAGAATTGATTTACGTTAATAGTTAATTTACTTTTTAATTTGTAGCGACGATTTATCTGCTCATGCATGAGCATACGTACGTACATAGCCTGACGATATTGAAGGCGTTATTTTAGTAAAAGAATGTTTTGTCTGTTATTACAGTTAATCATTTCTCCCTTAGAATGTATTTAAGCAATAATTAAAACTTTATCGACACATTCTTAAGAGATTAATATCGCAATATTGACTCTATTGCCATACGTATCAATGGAAAAATAATTTTCTTATAGAAAGTAATAAAACTGTTATGATTAAATAGTTGTAGTCAAATACTTAGAGAAGAATGCAGTCAATCTTCCTATAGTACGTCAATACACAATCTTGAAAAGTAAAACTATTTATTTATTTACGACAGGTGCAATCTTAAAGAAGAAGTTCCACATCCGCGTTCAATTCCATTTGAAATAAAAAAGAAAGGGGAATTATACGATGTTAGTTTAAAATATGAATTGTTTATTCATTCAATCGTATCATCCCATTCTTCGACCACAAATAAATTATAATCATTATTCATGATATTTCCCCTCATTTTCTCTATTATCTATAATTATTGCAAGAATAGCTGATTTCTTTTTTTGACGTAGTAGATTTTGGTATTGGAAAGAATTGTTCAAGTTGGGTTTTTTTATTTTAATCCGGTTATTATAGGTGTGTGACTTTGATGCATTGCTCCATACCCTAGACGAAAGATTATTAGAACAGTTACAGAAAAGATATTCTGTAAGGAATGGATTAACACTTCTTTATAAGTATTCAGCTATCTTTTAAAAGCTATTGGGATTTATCATAGAGGAATGAAAATAAATTTAAAGTGCTTATTAATCGGATCTTTAGAAATAGCCTGTGATGGAATATTTTAATAGTAATCTTAGCCATAAATTTACTTTAATATCCTCATTTTTTACTTTGAAATTGTTGTATATCATTTAAGGTGTTATAAACAACGTATTATTGCTTTTATTTTGGCTAGCGTGCTCAAATGATGGCTCTCAAACGACAATTACAAAGCAAACTAATATTTCAAAAACAACAAACTCTATTAATCGGTAGTGACGAACGAGACGAAATGGTAAGGTTTCAAGCTACCCTTTTTTAGACTATGCTTAAAAACAGCTTTCATCAAAACTTATTGGAATTTGATGGCATCGTTGGGTCTATAAACTGTTTTGTCACGCTTAAGTTTCACATTTTTAATTCTTTAATTCTTTGAACACAGATTCAAAGAGAAAATCGAGACTTCGATAGATTATCAGAATTTTTAATGAAATCTGAATCTCTGGTTAGTATGCTAATGAGTTAAAGCAATGAATAACATATAGTACAAAATTCGTCTTAAAATTAGAATAAAATTTTAAACTTACATCTGTCTTAAGAATATATGCTATTTAAGAGGACCGGTAGTAAACATCAATTATCGTTGTTTTACACGCAATCAGCTTCGCCAAGCAAAATGTGGTGGAACTCAATATCGGAATTATTCTATAATGGGCGACCAGGAAAGCCGAAAAGTTGACAGCATTCAGGTATAATTTCATAATAAAGCATATAGATTATCATTAGTCTTCTATTGCTTAAATTGTATATTATCATACAAATCAGAAATAACAGTACACACGCTATGAAAGTTTTCATTACAGTTAATAATCAACTGATTTTATTAGCTCTTATAAGAAGACGATTATAAAAGAGGATTACCGTGTTTTCATATCAGGACGCTAATTTATTTACTGAACAGGAATTATGTGACGAGGAAAGCAAATCTCTCCTTGAATTTGATGATCATCTCATTTCCAGAAGTGCTACTGCTCAGCTGCAACTTGTTAAAGCCGCTAAAAGTCGCCAAGAAAGAAATTCTAGGATAGACTTAGATTCCGATTTTATCGATAGAATTAGTACTGCTATGAATCCATTCCGAAATCATACGGCAAAAAAAACCAATCTGTCTACTAACAATAATATCGAAACGAGTGCTAGTCATGATAAATCGTCAAATTCTGTACCAGATATAAAACAACGCGCAGCGACTTCACCCCCCAAAATACGCAGAATTCCTCAATATTTTGAGAAAGATGTGAGTATTCAATGATAGTGGTACAATGGATATTGTCGAATTTTAATCTGGTAGTAGTGTACTTTAATATATCTACAGGGCAACTCTGTTATTGCAATATACGGCTCAAATTTAATTTCAGTACGACTTAAGATCTTGTACGAAAGATCATTATTTAGTAGATTGTTATATTACTTGATCTGAAATTATTTTTGGTAGTTTCAAACTTATCTAAGGATGAAACTAAATCTTATGATATTGTTAAAAATAGGAAAAGAATCGATTGCAACTTTACAAAGATTCTGTCGAGTGGGACATGGTTTCAATGGTAAGACTTTTTACGTAGGCACATGCATTCTATATCGCTAAACGATATGCAGAATATGATACACTAATTAATTGAAGTGAATTAATAATAGCTACAAAGACTGATTGTAATGTAATTATTAATACCTAATATATATATACTATTTTAATTACTCTTCTAAATAGAATCAAAGAACTCAACAGTTACTGAATAAAATGCATTCAAAATATGAACGTGAAAAATATGTTAGAAATGTGCATGCTACTTGGCGAGGTAATTCTAACTCCTTCACCGAGTTCCATTTGCAATGACTTACCTTTATTATTATTTTCAATTTTTATACCTAAAGATAATACTTATCAAGTTGGCCCAAAGGTAGATATAAATCACAATTTCTTAGTACTTTGGGAAGCGAAAAAATGATTTTATCAAATTTTAAAATCCTTCCTGACTTGATTAGAACGTTAATTTACTGCTGCTGTATGATAAGTTTCTGTCATTACTTTTTTCTACTATAGTCCCAATATAGACGACATCGAGAGTCTGCAGAGAATTTAGCAACAGAAATATTAAACGACGTCAATAGTAGAATCAAACCTGCGCCAGAGCCAGTCTATGATGATAGGATTCCCACAGAAGTCCAAATAGAGCGTGGTCAGATAAAGCACAGACATGGTTACCAGCAATTATTCAGGCGAAGGGTAGATGAACATACTATTAGCATACGTATACTTGAGCAACGTGTGTTATAAATTTATTTCTTATGTATTCTTCTCTTTATTTTAGTCATTATCTTGTGAATATTTCATGTCATATACTTTTATCGATGTTAGATAAATAATAGCGCTTTATTCCACAAGTTATCAGCTAAAATCATAACGCCTACACGTGAAAATGTTGTTAAAATTTTCTTACAAGACGTAAAAGGTTTCAAAGATTGCATATCGATTAAAGCGTAATTCTATCTATTGTTCGATCATATTCTGTGCCCATATTTCACGTGTATAGCATATACGCGTATGTGTACATAACACATACATTTACCACATCTGATATATTCGTGTCGCATAGTCATGTTTGTAAATTACGCCTTGTATTTAAACTTGAAGTGATACAATCCGAGACATATCGTATTCATTATAATCTCTATTAATGAATTTATGATATGTAAATTGTACAATGGAGATCGACAAATGGTTAATTTAATTTTGATTGTCATTTTTGATAGACTGAAATCTAAAGAAAGTCTATTTATACAGAACATAAGCAATTTTGAAACTGTTTGTGATACTAACTTTTTGAATAAAATTAAAGATTCAGAAAGTAAAAACAGCATTCAAACGCATAAAATCAAAATTAATAGCTTATATTTTAATGACTTACATAAAATCAATCACTAACGGTTAAAAATAATCTACAACTGTCATCAGATGTATATTTTCAAAAGTATACCAAATCTTGAGATTGATCCACTTGTAGTAATAAACAATGGATTATAAATATAGCGACTATATAGGTAATTAAAGCAGGCTGTAAGTTGCAGCCCATTACAGCCGTTGCAATAGTAAAATTTATTATTTATGTTAAAAAATTTTTAGCTTTTGATACATTTTAGCATTGCAATTTAGATAATTCAATTATTTTTCTTTTTAGAAGAGCCAAAATAGATGCACTTCCATTCCGGTAAATAACACTGAAATTTCCAAACTTTCGTTTATGTCAATGATTAAGTACAAATTCATAAATTATTTCTTTTCACTCGAAAATGTTAGTAATTAAATAAGTACTTTGAAAAAATTCATCAGCTATTACATGCGGCCAAAATACAATGTATACGATTGGAGACAGTAGGATACTGATATTTTACATGCACAAGCACTAGCAGCATGAATTTGGGTGAGAAAATACAATTTCTTAATATTGACTATTTGATAGAAGCATCATGGCATGATAAATGAAGCTGATTCTTACGATTTCATCATGTAGGAGTGCTCCAATAGTATAGCCTAATTAGGTTTTACAGGCGGTTGTTACCAAGAGATTGGACTCGCAATTTAATCCAATCTATCTATATACATTTCAAAGAGGATGATAAAATGAAATTAATATAGCAATCTCCAAAAGGGTGCAATTACAGGTATTTTCATAGCTAGCTTTACCGGAGCAAACCATGGAGTTCTTGTTGCAGGAAAAATCATTTTATGGAAGAAATTGATTTGATTAAAGGGAAAAATGACATGTAGGTGTAGATGATTGACACTATTAAACGGAGGCCAATGAAATCCTATCCTATAAAATACAGTATAGACGTATAGGTTCGACTTAAATATAGTCTTATTGTTAGTCCAAGCCCTATTAAATGGTAAGACGGAAGTAGATCTACTTTGCACGAGACGTTATCTATGATAAATAATAATTACTACTAATATAAAAAGTTCACTAACCTACAATCTGACACTTTCCCTTCATGCTTTGCAATCGTTTCTTTGCCAATCTTCTCCATATGTTCCACTATTACAAGCAGATAATTTCAATTTTATGAATTGTGATTACAATCAGTTTAAACCAGGCGGACAGGCATTGGATAATACAGTAATATCAATTTGGTGAGATCAACTTACGAAGAGGAAGATGTTCTAACTTTAGTTGTGCGGCATTTCGAATGTGCTCTTTAGAAATTACCAGGAAATGAAATTGAGAGACAGGTTTGATATCTTTAAAGACGGAAACTTTATCATCCTATTCTCAGATACAGAACAATTACTTGTAAACAATGGAAGGTTTGCATAAGCACAAGTAAATTGTACTATAGTATTTTTCAAAAGATTACATCATTCCGAAAAATTTATAATCTTAAAACTACTGTACTGTATACTGACTTCGTAGAGAACTGTTGTTTTTGGATCCTCTTTTGCAGCAATTTTGCAGAAAATACAACGTTTTTGTGGATCCATTTAGTACCAAAAAGCAGTATTATATATGTGTATGACAGTAAGGGGCAGGTAGTTAAACAACAGGTGCCCTGCAGACTCCACACCATTCAATGTATCCCAATCGCTTGAAAAACAGAATACATAAGTCCATTTCGTGTTAGCATTACTATACTCGTATATAATAGATATAGTGATCATTTTTTTGTTTATTACATTTTGATATTGTATAACATAAAGTATACGTTGTTCAATTTGTAGTCATACTGCGTTGTGTATGGTATTTACTGTAAACAGTTTAGTTGTCGGCGATTGTGCTATTAGAAGTACAGTATAATACAGCACGTAGCAGGAAGTAAAAGTGATGCTGTACTAGTACACTACTTAGCACTTATTATAACTGTAGTTCAGGACTCGTTTAACATCATCGGGTCTATAATAACAGAGCTTAATTTTTATCAGAAGCGAAGTATCCACGTTTTTTAAAATGGACGAAGAGGGGAATTGTCCAAGTACCGTATTGTATGTAAGTTATCGAAATTGATGACGCTCCAGAAAGGTATAAGACTAAATTATTGCACATCAATAACATAACTAAGTTCCGATATCTGTATTCTTGTATGATTTACAACTGTAAATACCACACTTCTACTGCAATATGAACTACTGTAGAATCGTATTTTGATCCATTCCATAATAAAGCAACTTTTGTAAATCTTTTCAATAATTCTTTCTGCGCAGTTTACCTTGACAAATTTTTTTTAACATTGTAATTTACACTTTACCATTGCTACTATCATGGCAGCTCATTCAAGCGCAAGATGAGCTGGTTATTACTAAAACAACAAGCTGGTTCGTTTTAATTTCAGGAGCCAAAGTAGGCCACCATGCAATTAATACAGTGATTGATAATGTTATGTCAGCTGTTGATGGATTGACTGTAAATAATATCTTCCTTGCTATCAGTACCGTACTGGCACTGTAGAGGGCTGACATTATTACCCATAGTAGTTAGAATCCACCCTTGAAATCGGTGACATTTTTACCTGCGTATTCGTGAAGTTGAGCTTGTGCTTGAAGGTGCAAGGATTTGAATTTTAGATAAATCACTAATGTCCCCAACTCTGAGATTAAACCAAGTAAGCAAGATCAGCTAGGATCAACAACTTGATCAATAATTGTCATGGCCTGCTTAAATTAATTAATTGTTGACTTCATGGAGTACAATACATATTACTGTAGACTACAGTCCGCCAACGTACTGTACACTGTACCGCCATTGTATAGTACTGTATAGTACAACTCGTGTGAGTGTGATCCATAGTGTGACCTACGGTTGTGTGACCCGTAGAGACATCGTACATCACGATGGTGTGAGTGTGTGTGACTCACCCGTAGAAGATACTGTACATGTCAAATTCTAGGGGCTTTTTCTTGGGGACCTACAGTACAGTACTGTAGCTTATACACTGTACACACTACGGTGCCGAACCGCTGAAGTTTAGCTGTACTGTACTGTATGACCTGGCGATGACTACTGTATTTGCACATGTGTCAAAATAAAGTTTTAACCTCGCCGTCAGTCTACAGTACTGTACTGTCCACGACACTTCAAGTGTACTGTACACTGTACCGTACCGTACCGTACTTGGAAGACCGCGGACCATGGTATAAAAAAGGCCCAAAGTGGAGTGGAAAGTGGACACAAGTTTGCCAAAGCAATCGATTCAATTCGAGGAAACTTTAGCCATTGAATTTATCTCAGCTTGTGGTAGCATTAACTATGGGTGTTGAATACGAAGTAACGAGGATTAAAAAACAATTGGAGAAGGCATTAAATCGTGAAATTGTGGTCAGTATTAGTTGCACATGAGAGTATGATTGATACGAATTTAGACTAGTATAGTCAATTTGTAGCCATTATTGTCTTGCATAGCTGCAAGGAAAGCATTCATTGTCAACTCAACTTTGAATCTCCATTCAATGCCAGGATAATGAATTTATATTGGATTTACTAACTAACCTGAAGGATTTAAAGATGACGTTAGAAATTTTACAGGTACAGTAATTCGATAATTTAGTAGAGTGCCTTTCGTTGATTTAGAATTGGCAGTACTGTAGCTTGAAACTGGTCATGTTCACCTTTGGTATACTTGTATGTTCCAATGCTGGTAGAAAACACGTGTGGGCTACCATGTTAACAACGTACGCAAGAAAGCTGATAAAGAAGTGGTTATCAATCTTGCAAAATCACTCATTAAAGATTGGAAGAGATTATTACCAGGTAGAACAGAAATTTTATTCGATTGGATAGGGTATATCCACATTACCATAGAAATATTAGATAAGGAAACGCATTTGCTGAAACAATGTTTACATGTTAATTTTCCATAATCGAATAATTTATTTTATTGTATTGACTATAAATTGGCCATGTCAAGACTCGAAAAAGAATGAAGCAAAAGATAAAACCGATAGCCGTCAAATGGATAAGGATAGTCAGGATCTTATCCAACAGTCGGAAATAAATCCTAGTCTAATGGTAGAAGAAAAAGACAACACGACCGTTCATCAAAGTCACAACAATGATAAGGATATGCAAGTTTTAAGTTCTGGCAATCCAACTAGAGACCTTAGTCGAAAACTTCTTATCGGTGCCCTTAGTCGCGACGGCTTGAATAAAGGTGATTAAAAGACAAAAGCGGGTAGACGAAGGGATGATAATTACATTCGTAGATTGCTATGCTTAGGGCAACAGTGCTTGATTTTAAAATACATAAATAATACGGTAGCCCTTTGAAGGATACTGCTCGACATGCAACCCTGTCAAGCAAAATTTTTTCTTACTTTATGTGACAGGTTACATTGATTCATTATAACGCAAAATGTTTTTGAAAATTTATATTTTTATTTCTCTTTAAGTACACAGCACCTATCCTAGTGTAGTCAGGAAAACTAACTAGTCCAACATTGCAAACAAATGATTAGCATCTAACAAATCGTATCTGTGCAGTGATAGCACCAACTTAACGACTATAATTAACTATAGAATTAAACTGAGTTCCTGCGACCTGGGATTTCAGTATCTATGCAGTCTTGAAATTTACCCTTACTAACTAATAATATGGAAATACTCTTTGCAGATAGCTACCATAAATTACAAACTATTCTTATCCAGTTCTAAAACTGTAGATTACAGAAGTGATATTTTGTATTTAAGCATAAAAGTAGTTAATATAATTTACGCAAGGATTGTTAAAATAGATAAAAAGTTCTAAACGTAAAATTAGCAACTCATTTCAACCTGAGTGCACTGCTGTAATTAATTAACCGTTAGTAGTATTAATTTTAGTCCATTGCTACTGTTAGTTCATCATTCATGTTTGAATTACGCCAATACTATACGTGAATACCAGGTATCGTAAGTGTTGTTACAATAATGCCGCAATAGTGCATGAACAGAGTTTGAATTAGCTACATTCCATAATATAATGGAATTGACTTGAAAGTACACACCTGTTTGACTTGCATGGCATAGCAAACATCTATCTCTCATTCGGTTAATAGTATTTCGTTTTACAGTAAATGATGAGTTTCTAACGAATTTACCTTTACAGATTCGGTGGATATTCCTGCGTTGGCCGCTGCTATTGAGGATTGTATCTTTTGATTGACAAATATTAGACACTAGCATAGGTGTATATATATACAATCAGTAGTATTAATTTCCATCATTTTAACGGAAGATTGTAATACAGACTACTGCCTTAACGAAATTCGATCTAGCCATTTTCAAAGAGTTAAAAGGTCCAAATATGAAATATAAAAATCGTGTTCGCAGTCGAATTTCAAACTTAAAAGACTCGAAGAATCCAAATTTGTGTCAGAAAGTCTTATCTGGTATTATCACGCCAGAACAGATTGCTAAAATGACCGCTGAGGTGATTTTGATTCGAAACTTATTTTATTGCTCGTTTTACGAGATACTGATTACATACTCTTGTTTCAACGGGAAAACTGCTTAATAACGATAGGAAATGGCATCTGATGAAATGAAGAAACTCCGACAAGGGTATGCCAAAGAAGGTATTCGAGATGCCCAGATGGCTGTCACTCAAGGCACAAAAACGGATTTACTAACTTGTGGCAAATGTCATAAAAAGAATTGCTCTTATAACCAGGTAATTCAGCCAAACTTTTAAATTTTATAATACTTAATGTATGTAGTAGATTAATAACTTTGCGTTATGCTACTAATTTATGACAATCAAACTTTAAGAATAATTTGTTTATTTTATCTAACCAGATGCAAACAAGAAGTGCTGATGAACCAATGACAACCTTCGTCTTTTGTCATGAGTGTGGACACCGTTGGAAGGTAAGAAATACAACAGTAATTTCAATCAATATTGATCTCCTTATGAGTTTTGAACAGTAAGGCTAATGTTGCAACATAACGCCTTTTTATATACTATAATGAATTTAATTGCTGTTAATATCAATTAATTATTTTTATTAAATCTCGTATATGTTTCATCAGTTTTGTTAAGGTAGGCTGGAACCTCTGCCGTAAATCAACCCAGTGGAATCAGCAGTCTAGACCCATAGTGTGTCCAGTAATAACTTGAATACATGGTATTGGTTACTCTTCAGTTGTTGGTCAGTTCTTACATGTCTTTATTTGGGATAGTGACTTAACTGAGCTATATCATACTATTATTAACATTCGTATTAAGTTATCAGCATTGTTATGAATACGATTTTTGTATATAAGTCAGACTTTACTGCTAATGGTTATTATAGTGTACAAAAGCTGAATAAATAAAATATATTAATGACTAAAAGATTTTCATATGCTGGATTTTATTATTATTGCTTTGTTCGCTAAGATTTTATATAGTTCAAATAGTGTACACTGTACACAAAAAGAAAGCAATATACGGCTGACTTAATATAAGCACTTCATGATCTGATGTGACTAGTTATTATTATGGAACATATTTATGTGAAGATAATAAGTGCCCCATTAAGCGTGAAGTACTTAGAGCATGTCGATAATTACCAGTGCAAGCTGTTATTAGGTCAGTTGTAGAAACTGTCTAAACTTTCTACTTGCCCGGAGTACTTTACCCACAATAGGCAAGGATTATTTAGAGTAAGATTTTAAATTTTTCCGTGCGAGGTACCCTGTTAATAACTAATCTTCCATCATAAGATAAAGAGGCAAATACCCAAGGATCTGAACATGACCAACATGACGCATATACACTATCTTCGTGTTCCTCATATGTTGCAATAATTCCATCTTTCGGTGGTTCTTCCTCCCTTTAGAATATTAAAAGCACAATTTATCAACTGTAGAATCACTAAGCAACTTACAGAAAGATAAAGAGATAATTTTACTAACAATACTGGCTTAACGTACTTATTTGAAGTTGATTCTTCGTCATCAATATCTTCGTACTGACCGAATGGCTCCGACGATAAAGATATTATGTTAAATAACATTACACGACTATCACTGCTTGACGATAGAACTAGTTGATCGTGGAAATGGTTGTAGGAGACCGACCAAACCCTGTATGATAAATTTCGTATTTGACAATGGAAAGATGCAGTATTCTATATCAACTGCTGATTAATCGTAAATTCAATCACATGTAAGAGTAAATAATGTACAATACTATATGTTACTCACCAATGAGAATGATTGGTTAGTTTAAGTAGAGGTTCCGTACTATTTCTGACATCCCAAAACTTAACTTGGCAATCATCTCCACATGATACTACATAGTAAGGTTTGTTGGGATTAAAATCTAGGTCCCGCACAAGTATTCCATGAGCATTTTCAATAGTATATGCTGGCCTAGATTTGGAATTATCACAATAAATATATTAATAAGATGAGTGAAACCGTAAATTATTGGAAAACATAAGGGCATTCCAATGTAGTAATAGCAGTAAAATATGAATGCATAAATTGTTAAGGCCAGTGCTGTATTACTTCATTGCTCTAAGATCCCAGGCCTTTATATTGGTATCGTAGGCACCAGCAACTTGAGTGCCGTTGTGGTGAGGATTCCAGGCAGCTGACGAAAAGCTTAAGTGACTCTTTTCACCTAAATCTATAACGTTTAAAACCTATCCAAACGGAATCATGAAGTAACAGGATTGTCAAAAACTATTGATTATAATTAGAGCCCCTATTAAATTTCGTCGTTTATACATCGAATCTGACCTTGGCAGAAGCGCTGGTGGCTACTTGAAAATCCCATATTTGTAAGTGCTGATCATGTACGCTCATGAGAGTAGATTTATCTTCGTTAGGATGCCACAAAACACTGTCAAGAGATCGCAATAGAGGAGTAATGGACGTAATAAGAAAGCATTTATAATGCATAATTATACTCTAGTCTCTACAGTAAATTTCGAAAACCTTTTTTCGATTTTACAACGAGACCTAGTTACGATGTATATGTGCATAATTAAATGTCGCTATCATTAATGTAAATACAGTATTGGAATTTACCTTTTCATATTTTCAATATCACTACTTAGGTGAAATTTAGGAACGAGAGGTGGAAAACTCATACCGGCAGTACTATGACGGGTATTGGTAGGACCTCCTAAATCTGAATCCATCGAATATTGAGCAGTGTGGCTAGATGGAGTTTGGGGTTGTACAGGTGACGTCGGTACTTCATCATCAGTTGGTATTTTCCATGCCGTAGCATGCCTATTAGTTTTGCTACCATTAACTGTCAGACAAAGCAATAAAGAAATATTTTATTACACATAGAAATGTTTTAGTCCCAATGATTTCTAAACGTCTTTGATAGCAGCATTATTCAGTAAATATTTCTAAGAGAACTCACGTCTGTCATAACAAGTTAGTAAAATTTCTTTATCTAGAGGGCAAGAGCTAATATGCCTAAGCAAACGTAATAACACGTTATAAGAGACTCTGGAATTCACAAAGCTTAGGTTAATTAATATCACGGTATATTATCCTTTAGTACGCTGCAATTTTGTACTTGCGTCGATGTAAGCATTTGCAAATTGTCACTGCATGATGCTTGGGGTATAATAGTTTTATGCTTTCAATTTATAAATACTGTAATGCTGTATTATACGTTTGGATACGAGTATATGTATGTTTAATCTTACCATACTTCCCCAATCGGATGAAGATAGACATTACTATTTATAACGTTATTTTCCTCATCGAATTCTATTAAATGGACCTTTCACAAATATTAAAATAAAAAAATGATTAACGATAAGTAATCAAAACGTATCCAATAAACTTTTACATCTTTTAACTACAGGGTGGACTGCATTATATTACAGTATATCCTTTCTTGTCTTTAAAGTCAGGAATTCATAAACGATATGGCAATAGCAATTACCTGATTATCATTTTTAAACGATTGTGTTCCTACTAGAAATTGAATATGATCAATATCACCTACTACAGCACACAAGGCCCGCGCCTGTAAATAAAACAACAAGAACGTTAACATATTCACCTTGATATTCAAATTATTTACAGTAACATGACCATTTGCATCTTCTCCATACGAGTATACCACGTATTTATTTTATTTATCTATAAAGCTGTACTGACTATTTAATATAGTTCAACAGTGAAGAGATGAACATGCCAACATAGATCAATATTTAGTCTTTAAAACGTTAAAGTGCTGCTATCATACCTGAAATTCTAAGCCATAAATTACTGCGGAATCGTCGTCCATATTGGTCTATACTGTACCGTACACTATATAGTATACACTCACTATACTGTACAGTACAATAATGATGTACGTGAAGTAGCATTCTCTTTAACGCATGCGTAAAGATTGACATTTCGCCAGCCGACAACACTATGTGCATAAAGGGCAAGGACACGTCCGGTGTCGTACAGTCTGTACCGAGTGTGCAATACTCTTACTGTAGTCTACCATAGAACAGTACAGTACTGTAGTGTACTGTATGTGTCACACAAGTCACACTAACTTTGAGATACTGTATACAGTAATACTCAAAGATTTGAAGTCAATCTAAATCTGCTTCCGAATTTTATAAATAAATTAAATCAAATAACCCCACAAATACTCCGACAGAGTTCATCAAGATTAACAAGAACTTGTAAAAGTAGTCCTACTGTATTGCCATCGCTCTGTGAGGATTCAACAAGTTACTTCTCCGGTGCAGAATCAGCCTCAGATTCAGGGCAATGGGGGGGGGGGCATCGTCATTCGATCAGAGTGGAATGCAATTTTGACTGATTTTGTTTCACAGCGACTATTGGGAAGCTAGTAATCATTATATCATTGTCGCACTAATTTCAAGCATCAATCAATAATACAGTAGATCTGATATCAAGTTCTACGCGCATAGTAGCAACGTGGTAATTTGTTACTGTAAATTTTCAATTACATCCTAATTCCAGTATCAATAAACGAATATGCTTACGTAAATATAGAGGCTAAAGGAAGTACGCGTAGCTGTCCTTCATGAAATCAATCTTTATGATAGTAGGCTTGTCGAGAGTATTAATTATGTAGCTCTAAGGTTACTAACGCAGTAAAATTATAATTTGAATTACGTAACTCCTTACTTGAACATGACTATTCTAGAAAGTACTGCTGATATACATTTACTCTGCTTTCATAATTTTTCCGTGACATCAAATATGCAGGATATCAAGCGCTATTCTATTGCTACGAATTGAGTAGTTTTGATGATATTACAGTTAGAACCAAACACAAATAGGGACTAAACAATCTAAACCCAGTTACAGAGCGCAAAGTAGTAGATAATCCATATATGTAGAATTAACAATCTACTTTTAAAGTACATTACATATTGTAATTTAGTATTGCCATAGATATAAAGAAAACTTGTCAGAGCAACGAGCACTTATTATCTCATTTAGGATAATTTGTCAGCGTACAGCATGAATCAGGACAAATATTCTGTAATACCTAGTTGTGGCGTAGATACATGGAATATCAATTTTAATTAGTTTACTAAGCGGCTTGGCAGTTCATACAGTACATATATAACTTGCAGTATATTTAAAATTAACACATGCCTCTGCAACTTATGCATAACTTTAGTTTTTGCTACATTGGTATATTCTAGAAGAACCCTTATACGTTACATTACATATGACCACTTGGGCAAAATGATATCGGTAAGTTTGACACGATACCTGCTCGCAAATATTAACATTATTTCCGTTTATGTCGTTGTCAAAGATGTACAACATTACTTTTTGACTTTAATTCAATTGCTTTTATGCCTCTAAAAATCATTTAAATAGACTTAAATTAATTGCTTGTGCAGATCGTTGAGGCGTTTGTAATGCAATCGTGCGAATAAAATTATATATCGAAATTATTGATATGCATAATAAGAACCTACAGTCATGCGAGCTAGGATGTATCAAACATGGCAAAGGTGTATAACTTTAGATGACATTAGTCTATTTGTGATGATGATTTACTGCGATTGTTTACGAATAAAAACTCAATATATATGTAGAATTCATATAAAGCCTTTATTCCTCAAGTAAGTTAATTTACAATTAGTTAATTCACAACTTAACCAATTTTCTATAAACGGATATATTTAGAGGATTTGGAACTCTAGTATTGACTTCTATTATCAAAAGTTAATTTGATGATAATAGCCTTTGTTAAGATATTAGTTTTAAGAAATTTTTTATTTTGAATTCTAATTCGTATCTCTAAAGGTCATCAATCCATGGTGATTTTAATTATTTTGATATCACGCTGATTATATTGTAACATATGTTAATTTAGCCGCGAAGAAAAACAATGACATCTTGTGAATGCCCTATAAAATTTATCAAGGACGTAAATGAATGTAACTCCTTCCAATTTAACGCAATTAGTATCAAGCCAGCTAAATTAATTTGATATTAATAGGAGAGCAGTGACAGCTTTAAATAAAAATAAGTTTTCTTTAAAATGGACAACTATTCCTTATAGATATAAGTATTGAATTCCTATAAAATTCGAAATTGTGTATCACGTATCATCTATAAATACGTATGTATTATTGATGAGAACTTTTCAAAATACAGTCAATACATAGCATGGAATATGTTAATTTTCACGAATAACATACCGCCTCATAGCAATGTGTGCAGATGTATTGTCCAAGGCTAAAGTTGGGCTATATTGTTATATTGTTGTAGATGGTTTCTATGGAAACCACGCTGCGCAATGAGAAGGATTGAAGAATTTGTACCTAATAAAATCGATCTTATCCTGACATTGTATTGCTAACTCCTACATTATAACAAGTACAATTTACGTTATTTGTCGTTTCATAATTAAAGGTTTGTCAGTTTGCTGTGATGCACAGCTGCAATGATTTCATTGCAATAGGTACATCACTTTTCGTATGTTCTATGCTGACACAGTTTGAGAATAAAATTGGATAGGAATCGCTGCAAAATCTTGTAATAATTTGCGAAAAAAACGCTGTAAGTATTGCATATGACGCCTGTTGATTAAACTAGCTATATCACGTAAACGTTGTGTGCGATAGAAGCTGTGATTACACTAGCTATTTTCTGATTAATATATTTAGATAAATGAGGCATTGTCTGTTTAGCTTGTTTTAAGGAAATCTTATATTGATTTTTATCGATTTAAGGTAATAAACGAAAAGCTGGTCAAATAATTCGATTGAAAGGTAGAAATTATAAAAGACTTCATACACCTTTAGCAAGGATAGTGATCAACTAGAATGGACATGGAAGGAGAAAATTCTGAACAAGAAAAAGAAGAACAAAATATAGAGACAGGAAATTCGAACAAACAAAGTGATCAACGAAGCCCACATGACAGTAATAATATAGATAATCATGATGCCAATAGTATTGATAGAAGACAATCATCAATAGGAGAAGAAAGTTCCCTATCTGATAAGGTTTCTAATCTTGATGAAAAAGATCAAGCGGATGATCAAGGTGATAACGTTAAAGAAAGTAGTGATGAAAGCCCAGAAGAAAAGGCAGATGAAGAACAGAAAATAAAAAGTGTAGATGGAAATGATGCTCTTCAGAATGGTATTAATGCCGAACAAGACGATGATAAAAATAGCCAAGAAAAAACTGATAGAGTGAATCATGGCATGACGAACGGGGATAGAGAGGAACCTACTAACGATCAGCAAAATGACCATGGGACAGATGTTAAAAATGACGATGGGCAACAAATTGGCCAACAGGATCAAACAGCAGAAGCTGATAAACCACCGGATGGAAGTGGTCAAGTGTCAAAACCTAAACGCAAGCGACGACGGAATATCTTCATTTCGTACAGTTTAGATGCACCATTTACTGAAAGAAAGTTGGTTGCAGAGACCGTTAAACAACTAAAAGAACTCGGTTTTCATGAAGATCTATGGTATGATAAAGATGAAATTGAGATAGATTCGCCATTGTGTTTTTCAATTAGGATGGAACAATCTGAGCGTTGCAAAGCTGCAGTATTATTTCTTTCGTCAAGTTATTTTCATTCACGAGCATCATTTTACGAATATAACACCTTAATTCAGCGACATCGTTTAGCAACAACACAGGCTACGCCATCTGACACCAGACCAATTAAATTATGTGTTATCATTTGCGAACCGTTTAATTTCCCGAACGATATTAGTTATATTTCATCAGATCAAGTTATTTTGCGGTTAGATGGCAATTCTATGTCGAGATTAAGCATAGCTGAAAAGGCATCTGCTGCAATTGGGACCTTGACTAAAGTTTTAGAACCATTTTGTTCGGGTATAGCAACTCGTTTACCTACGCCACCTTCACGGCATGGCCTGTCAGACAGCTATAAAGTAACTAAATTATTAAAATGGTCAGTCGACGACGTTCAGGAGTGGCTAACAAGTTTGCAAATTCATGAACGCTATATGATGACATTTGAAGAGTATCGCATCGATGGTTACTTGCTAAGTTGTTTAACAGATGATGATCTCATCCAGCAATTCGGCATAGATAGTCGAATAACAAGGAAAAAATTACTACAAAAAATACGAGTGGAATTAGAAAACGAAGTTAAATCGCCAAATAATTGGTATTTACGATGGCATTGGGCTAGAATACGAGATAATAGTGTTTATATAATTTACGATCCGATGGACAAAAAAGTTGTTCGTTCACTAGTTGAGGATTTATCGAAAAAGCATTATCAGGTATTGCATTAGTGATCTAAGTGCGTCTCATTTACGTACTACAGTAATAACAGTTTTAATTAAATATCTTTATCATGGTTATCACTATATAGAAGTAACATTGGCCATTATACAGTAGTACAGTAATATAGTTTTTATTCTTATTCAATGCCATAATTATTATCAGTTTATTTCTGATTGATAGCGTATACGTTTTTCTTAGAAATATTTATATGTTTAGTAATTATTATCTGCATCCCCAATTTTAGATACTGGCCCATGATAAATTAGGGCGATCGAAGGAAGAATTTATTCGTTTTAATGGTCACCGATTAGCCGTATCCAAGCATGTTGTAATTGTATTGACAGCTACATCCGCAGCATCACCATTTGTCTATCAAGAAGTATTATTAGCCGATTGGTTGGGCAAAACACCAATCTCTATGGTTTTTCATAATTGCTATAACAACATGAAATTATCATTACGGTCAATACTAAATGATCGCTCTGCGGTTGATTTCCAACATACTCCGTATAATGATGCTATGGATGTCTTATTTTTCAAATTACATTCTGGTTCACATCTTCATGGCGTTTACTTACAGCAAGACTACATCGAACGAGTTAATGATAATATGAAAACGCTACAGTCGATAGGATCGCCAGGTAAGCTTATGATACTAGGTAATATACGTCAAATCATCACGTCAGAGGAAATATTGCTTTTACACTAAATAAATATCTGACTAATATGTGCTGATTGATTAATTAATTAAGACCTTTCCTTAACTTTATTAGAAGGTCAATCATTTACAGACAAGGATCCGGTTGTTTTTATATCGTATCAATGGGATAGCCAGTCTAAAGTAGTACTATTGAAAGAACAATTGGAAGCAAATGGTATTCCTTGTTGGATAGATAGGCCGAATATTACAATTAATAAGAATCAGATGTCCTCGCATACAGGACATAATAGAACATCCGGTAAGAACATAAAGTTGCCTTTGTTTTTAGATTTCTTTCTGATATTGCAATGTTGAGGTATCTTTTGATTTCAGCTATTTATGTAGCCACTTACTAGAACCTATTAGACTATGTCGTTAATTTAGTATATATATATTACTTTATAATTGACAATATAACGGAGCTTAACGATGATTTCTTTTGAACATGAACTAGCTTTAATTAGAAATACCATACGGTAGTATTTAGAAATATTTTATGTAATCTCTTAGGATCGTGGGATACAGTCTTTTATATTATCCGAAAAATTAAGCAGTATTTTATTTATTAAAGTCACCTACCAGCCTATTATAAAAAGTGAAAGTGATCACGATACATAGTAGAGAAGCATTTGCTATATAAGCTTAATTTAGCATTAGCGTATTGCAAAGTACAGTATTGTTACAGTAGTGCTCAGGTATAACTCATAGTTATCTTATTGTTCATGCTACGTTGCTAAACATTCAATACAGTCCATAATTATGGACCATACTGTACATTTATCAGCTAGGATTCAATGTATTGCATGTATTAGTATATCTGGAACAAAAAGCAGCCTTAAATATACTTAAAAGCCTAATAAACTCGGTTCTATTTCATGAATAGGTATGGCATCCTCTCTTTCCAATAACATGACAAATATTGTGACAGATACTATTCAAAGTGAAATTCAAAGAGTCATGAAAAACTGCAAAGTAGTACTTTGCTGCATGACACCTAAATATACGAGATCGGATAATTTCTATAAAGATTTGGCATTAGCCGATTCTCTTTCCAAGCCAATCTTGCCTGTAATGTTACATTTTATGCCATGGCCGCCAGAAATTGCTGCACTTCATCTTCGTAAAAACCTGGCTAGCTTAGAATATATCGATATTAGCAGTGAGAAATTATTTAGAAGAAATTTTGCTACCGTAATTAACCAAATTCAGCGCCACCAATCACAAACTATGGCGGTACCAAAACTGCCACCACTGAAATAATGCAGTGCGAATTTTAAATGTATGAATTTTTCTAATAATTATTTTGAATACACATTATGTTCGACATTATTTTATTTCTATATAAAGACTTTAATGTATACTGATTACTTGTATCAGAAACTATCAAGAGAGTAGCTCATACTAATATCTAAGCTAATTTGCTGAAACTTAGTTATAAATTTTATATTGGAATATGGCGGAAAATAGCTAATTCCGGATTTAAAAATTAAAGTCAATATTGCATTATAATTTTTTTGATAATACTAGTAATGCATAATAGAAATTTTGAGAACACTTTTTGTATAGTGAAATCCAAGTTATGTTTTAACATTTCAAGTAGTAAAATATGCATATCTTACTCGAAGAGATTATTATTGGAGATTGCTTAGACACTACCATATGTATTAACCTCATCCCAAGCTTAAAAATAACAATTTAATATTACACTACATTGTATATAAATTATTTTTAATCATGTTGCTACATTAAATTTATAATATTTCAAGCGCTGTATAATAAACTAGTACTAAACTTAGTAAATGCACTGAATCAGATAGGGTTTATTTTGCTTCGACGTTAGTATTGAGAAACAGGAAAATAAAATGGTTACAGCTCTCTACAAGTGTTTAATCATATGACATTGATATTTAATGTATCGCATACATGTATTAATGGAAGCATGAAATTCCTTTAGGCTTCACTTAGAGCGTTAGCTTAGGACTGTACATTTACCAGTTATAATATTACTTGATCACTCTTTTTGCATTTTTATCTTAAATCCTGTTACTTATGTATGAATCTATGATTTATTTATCATTAAGATTATTAGTTTATAGTATTAGATTTATAGCTTATTGATTCCCTTTAGCAAATGCTATATTAAGTTTAGTTTTTCTTCTACATTATCTACTAGTATCAATAATTTAGAATATTTGTTGAATGCTAAAATGTTCACTGAATTTCTAACATGACTCTTTAAGAACCAATCACAATTAAGTAGGCTAAATTTCTCCGAATGCTTTAATTTTATACCATCAACAATTTTATATTTTAGTTGAAAAAGAGCGTTTTATTGAACGGAATGATAGATACATACAGTTATATTAATAGATTTATGTATTTGCTACACTTCCTTTAAGATATCTATTTAGTACAATTTAAATTAGGCTTAGACAATATAGAATCCTATGATACATTAATTATAATCCATAGAGTACTGTATCTTAGCTTCATTTAAAAATGAAGTACGCGTAGGTTGTACTTAAAGATTGTAGGGATCGTAGGTAACCCAATGAGCGGTATCTCGTTTTGATTTTGTTGGTCCACTCTTAGTGAAAATGGATTTAAAAGTTTTCGACTTTGGTTTTAAGTCATTCTTATCCATGATATCTTTTGTAGCACTAGCAGCACCATAAATAACAGCGTCGTTAACGTTACTATTGATTTTTCGAACTTTAGGCGTGATTTTATCGGAATTCGAAGGAGTTTTAGTAATGGGCTTATATAACGAGGTTGGGTCAACTTCCTGAATTTTTCGTTTCTTCAACTAATGAAAATATAGATGGCTAGATTAGTTGAATTACTTAATTCCATGCAACAGCTTCTATATATTGCAATGGATGTAGATAACATCAAAGTATCATTATGATTAATTTAAGATATGCAGTATAAAAATTTTTTACCTTTTCTTTTTTAGCAGCTAATCGTCTCTCTTTCATCTTGCCATGAAGCTTTTCGACATCATTTTTGTCTCCATTAATGACAATAATATCATTATCATCGTATTCTTTGTTACACTATCCATAATAGAAAATTAAAGCAAGAAAGTAGTCTTTCGCTTAGAAATAAGGATCACAAGGTGTTACAATGATAAATAATAGATATGAATGTAGCCATCAGTGTTACAATATGTATTACCGATGGACACTTTTTAATTGGAATTTCTTTCAAGGCACGTTCTGATAAAACACAGCCACAATTCCATAGAAAGCAAAATCTGAATAAAATCAAATTAATTTAAAAGGCGCAAAATTAGCATTATATTAAGTATTTTTAATAATACAGTAATTTATATATTTAATACCGATATCTGCCATTCATTTCAAACCCAACTACCGGACAGATGAACTCTGAATCTTGATGATCATAATACGAATCGGCTACCCAACGCTTAGAATCATTCTCGCTATAAGCTGGATTGATTGCTAGCTTTAATTCTTTTACATCCTAAGGATTATATAAATTGCAATGCAACGGCTTTAATTCACGAGTTCATCATGGGTGACCAAATACAATATACTGTAGGTGCGTATACATTGTAGATATCGTTTAGAATTGAGATTAATTAGGTGTATATCAGTGTACGTAAGTATAGTATATGTGCTAAAAATTTAACAATTTTATAAATCATCGCATAGGAACAAACCTTTAAACCACGAATGTGAGGGCAGTTATCAGAACTTTCTTTATCTAGTAGGTATTCAATAATGGCGTCTTTGTTATACAATCTGTAATTAAAATGGAGTTATCATGACCATTTGGGTTTCATAAATAGGCTTGATACCAACAAGCAACAGCACATATACCCAGCAATGCGTAGAGTATATCGTAAACATACGATTTACTGAAGAGTCATTATCATCACGGTAGAACAGCGGTAACTAGTTTAAATTGCCTATTCTTATTATGCTACAGAAATGTTTACTAGTGTATTTGTACCGGCTAGCTATATTCTGATTGCGATATATGAAATAAACCGAAGATACTATAATAACAAAACAGTGATATTTATGCTTTGCACTTCGGGTTCAACCCGATTTGTACTGGAGTTCGCTGCAACAATGTAATACGGCATAAACACAGAGGTACAATTTGATAAGGGATCAGTTTGTTGTAAACTAAGCCAAGAGTATTTTAGAATTTCACTAACTTCCACGATAATTTTGTAATGATAGTCTACAGTACGCATTGCATTGCAAGATTCTACAAAACTTGTATATGTATGCATCTAGTTGGCAATGCGTTAGCGTATATAGCATACTTTCCAAGCTCACATCCAACCATTGGCAGCTGCAGGTGTTGCTGTGTGATTGTACAATGACGCCATCGCGCTTGTAGCTCGTAGTCTTTCTCAACCTAGAGTCCATTTTTATCGCCATTAGTACGTTATAAATTAATTAATCATTCAGTCAAGGTCTCGTCTGCAGTAAGTTGTACAATCTCGCTTACAGTATACCAAACTGGTAAGATACTATATCTTAATCCAAGTACGTTATGGATAAGTAAGAGGCTATCCTACCTTTTCGGGTTTCTTTTTAGTTTTCACCAGTTCACCTCGACGTGGTATGGAGCCACCATCATTTCCCATCTTGTTTCCACCAAGCTTTAAGTCTGCTAAAGATGCAGTTAGGAAAAAAGGAAGAAATAAAATGATAGAAATTGGCGTACTAATGATAAGTTCTAAACAGTAATATAATAACGGGCATACAGAACAGTATAGCGTGGAATCGTATTACCGTGCAGTACAGTACAGTACAGTGTACAGTACGTCACATACTGTACAATACAGTAGTATGTACTGTAGTAACTTGTAACCTCGTTTGCAAATGTCAATTACAGTAGTGTAATCTCGTTCCGTTCCATATCGTACCGTTCCATATCGCACCGTTCCGTACCGCATTGTTCCATACCGCACTGCAAATTGCAATGCACGCTCTAAAAGCTGTAATCACAGTTCTGTACATACTATACTGTACTGGAGCGTGGGTCTAAAGCTAGTGAGTACTTACTTACTGAGTAGTCCAGTACTATACAGTGTACTGTACCATCGACTGCAGTACTACACTAGAAGAAGACTTGGACTTGACCTGACTGTCAGGCCTAAGTCGGTCTGTCTGTCTTGGACTGATTAGTGATCACTCGCATCGCATCGCACGGAAGCAGATTCTACAGTATCTACTGTACAGTGTACTGTACAGTGTACAGTACAGTACTAGAAGAAGACTTGGACTTGACCTGACTGTCAGGACTAAGTCAGTCTGTCTGTCTTGGACTGATCACTGATCAACTGATCAGTGATCACTCGTATCGTACAGTACGGAAGCAGATTCTACAGTACCGTATCTAATGTACAGTGTACAGTATAGTACTGTACTCTAGATATCTACTGTATTCGTACTGTACAGTACTGTACTGTAGATAGTATCGTCAAGAAAAAGGTAAACAATCTGCGGTGTCGATTCCGACGACCATCGGAAAATCATCTTCATATAAACAAGTTATCTGTGAGATTTTATTAAGCATCAAGGGCGCTGATGTGCTGCACCGAGAGGTATTTAGAGGCCGATAAGGTACGAATTCAATGGACTTGAATAAATGAAATGGCTAAAATTCAAGCAACCCTCGCTATATTTAAACCAGATATAATGTTACATCCATCACGAGTTCAGGTACTACGTTGATCGTCTAGCCGATTCATGAATTACTCTAGAAATAAATAAATAATACATTAATATACCACCAGTATAATATACTGTACGTGCACAACGAATGAAAAAGGACTACCCGCGGTAGTTTCTGTCTTTCTGATTAGTTTATGAATCTCCTGTAATCGCTGATGTGATGTATATTATTATTGCTTAGAACAAGTTGATTCAACTTCGCTAGTTGAGATGGTGAATAAATGATTGCTTGCTTTTGTTTCGCGCTTTGAACTTTCCTTAGCTATTGCTCTAGCATCTAGTAAATAATGATCAACTTGGCACGCTACTGTAATTTGTTTTTTATCACGAAACGAATACTGCATACCACTGTTATTGTACTAGTACGTACATACACTCGTACTCCTGCTTTTGCTTAGTACAAATCGTATTCACTATCATCTTCAATAAATTTTCAATCTTTTCACATCGCCTTGCACTCGACCATGCATGGATCGTGCCGTGCCTATTTCTGGTGACAATAGGTATGACTCGTGTCGGAAGCTATACTGTACGTATACCACTGAACTAAAATCTCCTGTTACAATATCGATATTTGATATAGAAAATTCAGCAGCTGATAGAAAAGAATGGAATAAAAGTTTTTCGAAAAAAACCTTTAACTATGGACGTAAATACAGCTGAAAAGTTTTACGGTGAACACCAAGGTAATCACCAATAACGTCTACCTGCTGTACGTTTATGCTACCAATATTGTATCTTCACGAAACTATATCATTGGACAAAATTTACAATTACCTTCCAGCCCTACATTATATAATTTAAACCGTAAATCAACTTATCTGTATGGTTGATGTTGCACTTTAGGTAAATTCTTTTACCCTCGTTTAGTGAACCTAATGACAGGGTAAGAACAAGTAAATATTTCATAAATACATTTGTGCATATTTTTTTGCGGTTAGTGATGTTTCGTAAGTATTGTTCCTAGAATGAAGTATTAAACTGTAAATATTATCAATATCATTAGTTTATAAGCGCTGCTGTTAATATGCCATAAATTTCTTGCATTTATTAGTACAATCTTTCTATTATCAATTGTACTATGAATCTTATGATTATTTGAATTATTTTATCACTTTATGATCTTGGTTTCAAGTGGACCAGCAACTATTGCCATTTTAGTTGGTAATAATGCAATTACTCATTGGAGAGATTTAATTGGACCTTCACGTTCTCATCGGTAATTTCCATACTTTTTATCTGCTATGTTATTGTATTACGTACATACTTTTTACATTGATTGTACGTTATTCATTCATTTAACGTCAAATCTGTTAGAGCGAGAAGTAGTCACCCATCTACTATTCGAGCTATTTATGGCTTAACGGATACAAGAAATGCCGTTCATGGATCAGGTCAGTCATCAGACCCATAATTCGCACTTCTTTTTCGCCTTTATAAAATATAATTAATATTCATAATTATATTAATAAAATTTTTAGATTCAGTAGAGTCGGCTGCTAGAGAAATCCAATTTTTCTTTCCTGAGCTCGATTATGACGATTGTGTTAAACAGTGTAAAACGTAAAGCCTAGCCCTGAAGACTATTCCTAAAAGCTAACTATTAGTGCTGATTGTGTTAGGTGTAAACTTCAAGTATGCATATTAATTTACATGTACTAGTATTATTAATTATAAGTTATTATTCTCTCGTTTTCCGTTTTAATAAGCGTTATCCATTTATTATTTCTAATAGTAACTCATGCAAAGAGTACTTCTATTACTACGTATAGATACTTTCTAAGAAATTGTTGCGAGCTCTGAAAAAAGACAACGCAATATTCATATACAGATTATTTGATAGCAATATCGATGGAACCTATTCTGTTACTTGCAATAATTTGATTTGCTGCAGCTGATGTACCTGATCTATAGCTAAAATTAGGTGATTTTATTTCGTTTGTTTGCAGTTAGACTGCCTCAAAATGTATTACACACAAGTAATTCTATTCTAGGTAAACGGAAGAGATGACAATATTTTATAACTATTATTTTTATGAAAAATGACGACAATTAAAATTCTATGTTACTGGCCTAAATATTAGGCTATACGCTTTAAGCTTGGTGCACCCTTGAAATGAACAAGTACCAATTTATGCACTAAATTAATATTATTAAGTATCGTAATTTTTGACATTAATTATATAATTATTGAGGGTGTTTTGAATTAATAGTGCGAAATCAAATGCGTATATACTCATATTTAGACTTGCTATTAGAACTATAAAACCAATATGATAATTGCCAGATCTAAAGGTCGCCATGCAACCTTTCCACCGAGAAAAACTTCAGTAAATAAACAATGTCATCCACTAGAATCGATTCCTTGCATAATTAATTATCACCTGAAATAGAGAAAACTTATTATTTTACTGTGCTTTGTCTTTTCGGCTGTCTAAAGATTAATTCTCCAGCTGTGATAGTATGTTATATAATAGAGTTAGCTATTAGAGATAGAATAAGTATGTTTGCGAAATGACATTCTATCCTGGTACTGAAATATCTACCAGTATGTCTATTAATAGCAATATACATTACCTTACAATAGTAGGCAGTGCAGTATATTAATCACTGTTAAAGAAGCTAATATTTCAGTATCCACGAGAGCGAGGTACGAGAAAGGAGCATATTCGCGTATAAAGGCCTAAGGTTTACAAATCATCACGTCAACTATGTCAAAATCAGTTATACGAAAAATCATTAAAACTGATACAGTTCCACCACCGGTTGGTCCTTACAAGTAGGTTTTCAAGACTTAATATGGTGTATACTGTACAGGAAGGGCCTATGCAATATTTTATTGCCGTATCATGAATGACAAGCGTTATATGTAGATATTTAGACAAAACTAGTATGAAGAATTAGCTGATCATAGTGAGTGGCAGCAATATTTTAATACTATGGATTGTGTAGTTAGACTTACTGAATCGGCTACCGAGCATACGTACTTAACTGATACCATACTTAATTTTTGATTATAGCCAAGCGGTTATCTGCGACAACGTTATGTACATTTCAGGACAGCTAGGTGTAGATGCCAAGGTTGGAATTTTAAGAAATTTAATAGCATCTGAAGTTATTTTTTACATATTGATTGTAGCTATTTCTCTGATATTAGACTAATAAGTTTGCGAGTGACAATGTTGAAGATCAAGCCAATCAGGTAAATAAATTTTACTTAGCTTTAAATAATATCACTGTAAAGCTATAGCATTGTTTTAAATCTGTAATCTTATAGTATGAGTTCAAATCTATTTAGGCCTTGCTAAACATTGGGGGTATTCTACGCGCTGCTGGAATTACTTATAATAATGGTTAGCTTCTAAGAATAAATTTTAACTAAAATAAGTTTAAAGTAGGTCATCGATAATATAATTTACATTTAACGACAATAATGTAAAAAATCAATATTTCTCACTGGCTTTGATAAATTGAAATTTATTGCGAACTAATCCTACTTTATGTCCTTTCGTAGTTGTAAAAGTTACCGTGCTGCTTACCAATATGGATGATTTCGCTACAGTTAATGGGATTTATACTAAATGTATGTATGCTTTCATCAATGATAGTACTGCCTGTTAACATTTATTCTACGATATAATTACCAGATTTCAGCTGTTAATATTTACCTTTCTCTATATTGAACCAAATACCGTTCATTAATAGTTAAAGATAGTATAGTAGTCTTTTCAAATACGTTTATCATGTATGTAAGGTAAATTCTAACTATAAAATATCACAGGATCAAATTGTTATAGGATATTTATAAGCAGATACGAGATTAGTAGAAAATAATAAACTGCTGCAATATATAATTTTACTAATGGAGCTAGTGTTATGTTTTAACATTTAACTAGTTTTTAAAAGTAATTATCCAGCTAGAGTGGCATATCAAGTTTCCAAACTCCCCAAAGTAAGAGAAAATTTGAAACACATTCATTTTCTTACGTATCGTATTATGATATAAACTTCGGCCATAGGGTAACTAACCATCGAATCATTATCATCATTTTTAACAGGGTGCAAAAGTTGAAATGGAAGCAATAGCAAGCACTGCAGAGATTGTGGACGATCAAGTTAAAGCTAAGCTTTAAATACCAGATTGAAAGTTGCTTTAATTTCTCCGTTGATGGAGGAGAACATGAAATGAGAAAAAATGTTCGACTGGTTTATGATTGCAGTCGTAATTTTTATTTTTATTCCATTCATACTGCTGTAAAATGACACAA